AAACTGGGTTGGGCAAATATCTTATTACTGGGATGGATTGTGATGGACCTGTCTAGTAGGTAGTAGGTTGGTAGACAGCAACCACCCAGGGAAGTACTACCGTCCTGCCAGATGACTGTGAAACAGAAACCTGTAACTGTTTTGCATGATGGTAGGATTGCTGGTGTCTTTTTCTGTCTCATAAACACGCTAGATAACAGGGACATCTTGCTACTCCAACTTACACTTTGGTCACACTTCGCAGACATGCACATGCATATATATACACATACATCTAGGTTTTTCTCCTTTTTCTACATAGCTCTTGTTCTTCTTTATTTCTTCTATTGTCCATGGGGAAGTGGAAAAGAATCTTTCCTCTGTAAGCCATGCGTGTCATATGAGGCGACTAAAAGCAATGGGCAATGGGCTAAAGGCAATGGGCTAGTAACCCCTTCTCCTGTAGACATTTACTAAAAAAAAGAAGAAGAAAAACTTTATAAAACTGGGATACTTGAATGTGCGTGGATGTAGTGCAGATGACAAGAAACAGATGATTGCTGATGTTATGAATGAAAAGAAGTTGGATGTCCTGGCTCTAAGCGAAACAAAGTTGAAGGGGGTAGGGGAGTTTTGGTGGGGGGAAATAAATGGGATTAAATCTGGAGTATCTGAGAGAGTTAGAGCAAAGGAAGGGGTAGTAGTAATGTTGAATGATCAGTTATGCAAGGAGAAAAGAGAATATGAATGTGTAAATGCAAGAATTATGTGGATTAAAGTAAGGGTTGGATGCGAGAAGTGGGTCATAATAAGCGTGTATACACCTGGAGAAGAGAGGAATGTAGAGGAGAGAGAGAGATTTTGGGAGATGTTAAGTGAATGTATAGGAGCCTTTGAACCAAGTGAGAGAGTAATTGTGGTAGGGGACCTGAATGCTAAAGTAGGAGAAACTTTTAGAGAGGGTGTGGTAGGTAAGTTTGGGGTGCCAGGTGTAAATGATAATGGGAGCCCTTTGATTGAACTTTGTATAGAAAGGGGTTTAGTTATAGGTAATACATATTTTAAGAAAAAGAGGATAAATAAGTATACAAGATATGATGTAGGGCGAAATGACAGTAGTTTGTTGGATTATGTATTGGTAGATAAAAGACTGTTGAGTAGACTTCAGGATGTACATGTTTATAGAGGGGCCACAGATATATCAGATCACTTTCTAGTTGTAGCTACACTGAGAGTAAAAGGTAGATGGGATACAAGGAGAATAGAAGCATCAGGGAAGAGAGAGGTGAAGGTTTATAAACTAAAAGAGAGGCAGTTAGGGTAAGATATAAACAGCTATTGGAGGATAGATGGGCTAATGAGAGCATAGGCAATGGGGTCGAAAAGGTATGGGGTAGGTTTAAAAATGTAGTGTTAGAGTGTTCAGCAGAAGTTTGTGGTTACAGGAAAGTGGGTGCGGGAGGGAAGAGGAGCGATTGGTGGAATGATAATGTAAAGAGAGTAGTAAGGAGAAAAAGTTAGCATATGAGAAGTTTTTACAAAGTAGAAGTGATGCAAGGAGGGAAGAGTATATGGAGAAAAAGAGAGAGGTTAAGAGAGTGGTGAAGCAATGTAAAAAGAGAGCAAATGAGAGATGTGGGTGAGATGTTATCAACAAATTTTGTTGAAAATAAGAAAAAGTTTTGGAGTGAGATTAACAAGTTAAGGAAGCCTAGAGAACAAATGGATTTGTCAGTTAAAAATAGGAGAGGAGAGTTATTAAATGGAGAGTTAGAGGTATTGGGAAGATGGAGGGAATATTTTGAGGAATTGTTAAATGTTGATGAAGATAGGGAAGCTGTGATTTCGTGTATAGGGCAAGGAGGAATAAACATCTTGTAGGAGTGAGGAAGAGCCAGTTGTGAGTGTGGGGAAGTTCGTGAGGCAGTAGGTAAAATGAAAGGGGTAAGGCAGCCAGGATTGATGGGATAAAGATAGAAATGTTAAAAGCAGGTGGGGATATAGTTTTGGAGTGGTTGGTGCAATTATTTAATAAATGTATGGAAGAGGGTAAGGTACCTAGGGATTGGCAGAGAGCATGCATAGTTCCTTTGTATAAAGGCAAAGGGACAAAAGAGAGTGCAAAAATTATAGGGAGATAAGTCTGTTGAGTATACCTGGTAAAGTGTATGGTAGAGTTATTATTGAAAAAATTAAAAGTAAGACTGAGAATAGGATAGCAGATGAACAAGGAGGCTTTAGGAAAGGTAGGGGGTGTGTGGACCAGGTGTTTACAGTGAAACATATAAGTGAACAGTATTTAGATAAGGCTAAAGAGGTCTTTGTGGCATTTATGGATTTGGAAAAGGCGTATGACAGGGTGGATAGGGGGGCAATGTGGCAGATGTTGCAGGTGTATGGTGTAGGAGGTAGGTTACTGAAAGCAATGAAGAGTTTTTACGAGGATAGTGAGGCTCAAGTTAGAGTATGTAGGAAAGAGGGAGATTATTTCCCAGTAAAAGTAGGCCTTAGACAGGGATGTGTGATGTCACCATGGTTGTTTAATATATTTATAGATGGGGTTGTAAGAGAAGTAAATGCGAGGGTCTTGGCAAGAGGTGTGGAGTTAAAAGATAAAGAATCACACATAAAGTGGGAGTTGTCACAGTTGCTCTTTGCTGATGACACTGTGCTCTTGGGAGATTCTGAAGAGAAGTTGCAGAGGTTGGTTGATGAATTTGGTAGGGTATGTAAAAGAAGAAAATTAAAAGTGAATACAGGAAAGAGTAAGGTTATGAGGATAACAAAAAGATTAGGTGATGAAAGATTGGATATCAGATTGGAGGGAGAGAGTATGGAGGAGGTGAATGTATTTAGATATTTGGGAGTGGACGTGTCAGAGGATGGATCTATGAAAGATGAGGTGAATCGTAGAATTGATGAAGGGAAAAGGGTGAGCGGTGCACTTAGGAGTCTGTGGAGACAAAGAACTTTGTCCTTGGAGGCAAAGAGGGAAATGTATGAGAACATAGTTTTACCAACGCTCTTGTATGGGTGTGAAGCATGGGTGATGAATGTTGCAGTGAGGAGAAGGCTGGAGGAGTGGAGATGTCATGTCTGAGGGCAATGTGTGGTGTGAATATAATGCAGAGAATTCATAGTTTGGAAGTTAGGAGGAGGTGCGGGATTGCCAAAACTGTTGTCCAGAGGGCTGAGGAAGGGCTGTTGAGGTGGTTTGGACATTTAGTGAGAATGGAGCGAAACAGAATGACTTCAAGAGTGTATCAGTCTGTAGCGGAAGGAAGGCAGGGTAGGGGTCAGCCTAGGAAAGGTTGGAGGGAGGGGGTAAAGGAGGTTTTGAGTGCGAGGGGCTTGGACTTCCAGCGGGCATGCGTGAGCGTGTTTGATAGGAGTGAATGGAGACAAATGGTTTTTAATACTTGACGTGCTGTTGGAGTGTGAGCAAAGTAACATTTATGAAGGGATTCAGGGAAACCGGCAGGCCGGACTTGAGTCCTGGAGATGGGAAGTACAGTTTAAAAACTGTATTGTAAAGCAACCTTCTGGCAAGACAGTGATGGAGTGAATTATGGTGAAAGTTTTTTTTTTTTCGGGCCACCCTGCCTTGGTGGGAATCGGCCAGTGTGTTAATAAAAAAATAATAAAAAAGGAGAAGCCTTCATTTTTCCTTTTGGGCCACCCCGCCTTGGCGGGATACAGCTGGTGTGTTGAAAGATGAAAGATTTATACAAGTACATGTACAACTTATACAGAACATAGCTGACATCATTGATATACTACTATATAGAAAGCCCCTGGTTATGCAGAGCATTTCCTGCACCTTAGGTTAATTTTGTCCCCAGGATGCAACCCACACCAGTCGACTTACACCTAGGTACCTATTTTGCTGCTTGGTGAACAAGGACAGCAAGTGTCTTAAGGAAACATGCCCAAATGTTTCCACCTGTATTGGGGACTGAACCATAGAGCTTGGTGTGTGAGCTGAGTGTGCTACCAACCCAGCTACTTGTCTATATATTCTCATTAATGACTCCTTGCATAGATTCCTGAATGCTAATCTTGTTTATAAATTCAAACTCTAGGAATATAAATTTTGTTATCTGTGACACCATTTTAAAAATAGGGGACCACTTCTATTAGATATCATGAACATTTTGTCAACAAAATTCCTTTAGAGTACTATTTATGCATGTAGAAATTAATAGTATAGCAAAAAAAAAAGTCATTTATTCTATTTACAAATGCAAATTTTTATTTCTCTGTGGTATGAAGATAATGTAGTTTACATGTAATAAAGCATCATTAGCCACAAAGAAAGCCACTGGTATGCAATGTACTGCTGGCAAAACTAATCCTAATGCTTAAAGACTACTTTTAGACATAGACTATAAAGTTGGATTTGTTATGCAGTTAACTACCTCTAGTACTTTTTGTCCTCCAGTATCATCAGATTTACCTCCTTTAGTCTCCTCATAGCTGTATGACCCTGCTGGTTTAGTGCTTAGTTTTGATTATAATAATAATAATAGTCTCCTCTTAGTTCATTCCTATATCTCTGAAGAAAGGTAGCTAATGAACATATAGCCCACACGTAGAAGAGAGAAGCTTATGACGTTTCAGTCCAACTTAGACCACTGACGAGTCACACTGACACAGAAGGTAGTATAATGTTTGTCAGGAAACAGGACAAGTGTTTCCTAATGCAGGTCTTAGTCATATGATGACCTGCAGCAGGAGCTTTTGGTCATCTGACTGAGGACTTCCGTTGGCTTACTCCTCCATCTCTTTAAAAATCATGGTTATGATCATAACCATTTCTTTACTAACACAAAAGAGTGAGGGAGCCAGTATTTATAGGCAAGGAGGACAGGGACAGGACTTTGAACTTATTCACATGCTTAATGTTTCAATGGCTTTTTTTTATGACAGATGTAAACTCAGCCTTAGTATTTTCAGCTCCTAAAATTCTCTAAATATATTTTTTAGAAAGGCTTTACTTTAGTTCTGTATATATTTTGCAGGAGGATTATTTGAGAGAATATCGTGCCCCAATTATTTTGGTGAGATTGTGGAAATGTGGGGTTATGCGTTGGCCAGCCTTGCTCCGCCCGCTGCTGCTCATGCAGTGTTCACCACTCTTTTCTTATCCAGGAGAGCACTTCAACACCATCAGTAAGTTCTTTTATATTTGTATATTCTCAGTGATCTTCAGCTTTGATAGAAATTGCTAACAACTGTAAATTTGTAAAGTAAATTATAGTTTGGTGGCACATTATTTTTCTTTTATTATTTCTTCATTGCATTAGAATTTTTTCCGAACACATCGGCCATCTCCCACCAAGGCATAGTGACCTGTAAAAGAAAAACGCTGTCATCATCACTTATACCACTGTCTTGCCAGAGTTGCACCTATGCTACAGTTCAGATTCCCCTGCAAACTGCAAATATGCCCACCCCTTCTTCAAAGTGCAGGCACTGTACTTCCCACCTCCAGGACTCAAGTCTGGTTAACTGATTTCCCATGAATCCCTTCATGTTACCTAGCTCACACTCCAACAGCCTATGAAAACCACTTTATTCCACTCACTAATATCTAACATGTTCACAGATGTCTGCTGGATGTGCAAGCCCCTTGCATATAAAACCTCTTCTACCCCACTCCTTCCAACCTTGCCTTCCCCACACTACTGATTTATATACCCTCCAAGTCATCCTACTTTGTTCCATCCTCTCTAAATGACCACGCCATCTCAACAACCCCTGCTCAGCCCTCTGGATAATACTTTAAGTAACTCTGCACCTTATAATCTCCAAACTAAGAATTCTTCTTTCTTTCAACACACCGGCTGCATCCCACCGAGGCAGGGTGGCCCAAAAGGAAAAACAAAAGTTTCTCCTTTTACATTTAGTAATATATACAGGAGAAGAGGTTACTAGCTCCTTGCTCCCGGCATCTTAGTCGCCTTTTACAGCACGCATGGCTTACGGAGGAAGAATTCTGTTCCACTTCCCCATGGAGATAAGAGGAAATAAACAAGAATTAGAACTAATAAGAAAATAGAAGAAAACCCAGAGAGGTGTGTATATATATGCTTGTACATGTATGTGTAGTGTGACCTAAGTGTAAGTAGAAATAGCAAGACGTACCAGAAATCTTGCATGTTCATGAGACAGAAAAAAGGACACCAGCACTCCTACCATCATGTAAAACAATTACAGGCTTTCATTTTACACTCACTTGGCAGAACGGTAGTACCTCCCTGGGCGGTTGCTGTCTACCAACCTACTACCTAGGAAACTAAGAATTATCTGCATAATTTCACACTGCATATTGCCCTATAGACATAACATCTCCACTGCCTACAGCTTCTTCCTTGTTGCAACATTCACAACCCATCTTCACACCCATATAAGAGTGTTGGTACCACTATACCCTCATATATTTCCTGTTTTATCTCCATGGATAACATTCTTTGTCTCTGCAGATGCCTTAATGTACCACCTACCTGTTTCCCCAGGTCAGTTTTATGGCTCACCTTGTCTTTTATAGACCCATCTGCTGGCAAGTCTGCTCCCAAATATCTGAACACATTCACTTCCTCCAAGAAAGGATCCTTCCAAGCTGATATAGTCTTTCATTACCTAAATATTTTGTTACCCTCATCACCTTCTTTCCAATGTTCACTTTTGATTTCCTTCTTTTACATACCCTCCCAAATTCATACACCAACCTTTGCAACTTCTCTTCAGCATCTCCCAAAAGCAGTGTCACTTGCAAAAAGTAACTGTATTAGGATTCTTAATCTTCCAATCCCACACCTCTCCCCAACACCCTAGCATTCATTTCTTTAATAACCCCATCTGTAAATATGTTTATCTATTAACAGAGGTCCAGGCAGTGCCCACTTTATAAAGATTCACTTTATAAAATTTTGCTACAACAAACTTGAAACATTAGGAAACAAATTTGTATAGTTAGAAATATAAAATACTGCAGTAGGCCTACTGGCCTTTGCTTTGTAGATCCTTCTCACACCCTGTTATATTTGTTTAACTTATTTAAACACCACCCATGTTACTAGCTTCAGTAATGCTACATGATATATTGTTCACTAGGCTGAGAGTGATGTGTCTAACCTATTAATTTCACCAAACTTGACTTGTGGTGGCCATGTGAAGGGTTACAAGTGTGTTCTTGTTCTACATGGCCAACATAACACTGCATTATATGGGTGTGAGTCATGGATGTTGAAGTTCAAAGGGCCATCTGAACTATGATGTTCACCCATTTCTGACAAGACAAAGATTGAATGATTGATGGTAAATGTGTTTCCTTTTTTGGGAGGGATATCACCCTATACTGGTGGTAGATAGACACTGTGTTTAAAAAACAAAAGGAAAGGCACAGAGTAATTACTTTACTTTTGGTAAAAAGTATTGAATTATTTATTATCATTTATAGAATTATATTATTTCTTTTTCAGTTTATGAAATGGTGATATGCAAAATATTAACACATTTGTTATGTATTTTTGTGGTAAAATTCAGTTAAATAATGTGGGTTGTTATCCAATTTGTAATGAGCAGCTATTGGTATACCTGGAGTATACCAGGTATACCAGGACCTGTTAGCCAGCAAGTGATAATAATAATTATAATAGTAATAATATTTATCTAGGTAGTAGGTTGGTAGACAGCAACCGCCCAGGGAGGTACTACCGTCCTGCCAAGTGAGTGTAAAACGAAAGCCTGTAATTGTTTTACATGAAGGTAGGATTGCTGGTGTCTTGTCTGTCTCATAAACATGCAAGATTTCAGGTATGTCTTGCTACTTCTACTTACACTTAGGTCACACTACACATACATGTACAAGCATATATATACTCACCCCTCTGGGTTTTCTGCTATTTTCTTTCTAGTTCTTGTTCTTGTTTATTTCCTCTTATCTCCATGGGGAAGTGGAACAGAATTCTTCCTCCATAAGCCATGCGTGTCGTAAGAGGTGACTAAAATGCCGGGAGCAAGGGGCTAGTAACCTCTTCTCCTGTATATATTACTAAATGTAAAAGGAGAAACTTTTGTTTTTCCTTTTGGGCCACCCTGCCTCGGTGGGATACGGCCGGTGCGTTGAAAGAAAGAATAATATTTATAGTAATAACAATAATTATAGGTAGTAGGTTGGTAGACAGCAACTGCCCAGGGAGGTACTACCATCCTGCCAAGTGAGTGTAAAATGAAAGCCTGTAATTGTTTTACATGATGGTAGGATTGCTGGTGTCCTTTTTTTCTGTCTCATAAACATGCAAGATTTCAGATATGTCTTGCTACTTCTACTTACACTTAGGTCATGCTACACCTACATGTACAAGCACACCCCTTTGGGTTTTCTTCTATTTTCTTTCTAGTTCTTGTTCTTGTTTATTTCCTCTTATCTCCATGGGGAAGTGGAACAGAATTCTTCCTCCGTAAGCCATGCGTGTTGTAAGAGGCGACTAACATGCCGGGAGCAAGGGACTAGTAACCCCTTCTCCCGTATAAATTACTAAATTTAAAAAGAGAAACTTTCGTTTTTCTTTTTGGGCCACCCTGCCTTAGCGGGATACGGCTGGTTTGTTGAAAAAAAAAACAACAACAATAATTATTATAATAATAATCTTTATTTCTACAGGTACATGTACAAAGTATACAGATCATAGCTGATATCAGTGACGTACTACTGTATAGAAAGCCCCTTGTTATGCAGAGCATTTCCTGCAAATTAGGTCAATTTTATCCACAGGATGCAACCCACACCAGTCAACTAACATCCTTTTTAATGACACGAAGCAAATTGTTGCTAATTGGGAACTATTGTATGAGTATTGTCACAACTAATCCACAAATGTGATATAAACATTTAGAAGTTTCAGTCTATTGGACCATTAAGTCCACAATAGATCAGAATTTCATCTAAAGCAGAGGTCAGGGAACTGGGGTAAATTTCCCCAAATGGGGTAAATATAAAAATCTCGAAGGTAAAGAAGGCTCAGTAAACATATAAATAAAATGGCTGTGTGACTGTATTTTCCATACAAATGGATTCAGTAAACTATTTTGAATTTGAATACTTCTTGTGTTTTCTGGATTCCATGGGCTTTCAAGTCTAGTGGGGAATTTCGCTGTGCACAAATTTGTTTTGGGGTAATACCGAAAAAAGTTCGCCAATCTCTGGTTTCAAGAGTCATGTTACTTTTGGATGAGTTGTTATAATGATGTTAACAGTGAGGATCATGCAGCACAGTGGTCCCTCTCGATAATCGTCGGGCTCGATAGTCATCCTTTTCGGAAATCGTCACGTTATTTTCGTCCAAACATTGGCTCACAAATAGTTGGTTGACTCGCTAATTGTTGTTCGTCCTGGACGCATACTCACGGCTCTGAGCCGCCTCGGCCTTCCTTCCCAGCCAGTGTGCCATTGTTTACCAGTGAGCGACGGTCCCCTCACTTGTTCATACGAAATATTTCATAATATTCCATTCATTTTAGTGCTTGCAAATGCTAAATAAGCTACCATGGCTCCAAAGAAAGCTCCTAGTGCCAAGCCTTTGGTAAAGAAGGTGAGAAATACGATTGAATTTAAGAAAAGCATCATTGAACAATATGAAAGTGGCGTACGTGTGGCTGAACTGGCCAGGATGTATAACAAACCCCATACAACCATATCTTCCATTGTGGCAAAGAAAAAGGAAATCAAGGAAGCTGCTGTTGCTTGGAGAAAATTGTGGCCAGATTGTGTCCACAAGAGGGATTTTGAAGGGTTTGTGGCTGACCCTGATGAGCCTATGTCAGTTGTGAAATCTATTGTGGCATTGGGGAGTTCCATGGGGTTGGATGTGAGTTTGGAGGATGTGGAAGAGTTAGTGGAGGACCACAATGAAGAGCTAACCACTGAGGGGCTGCAAAAGCTTCAGCAGGAACAGCAACAGATCGCAGCTCAGAATCTTGCTGCAGAGGAGGAGGAAGAGAGATGGAAGAAGGTGATTTCTTCAGAAATTAAGGAGATTTTTGAAATGTGGGGTAGGATGGAAAGATTTATGGAGAAGCATCACCCCGAGAAGGATGTTGGAAGCCATATCGGCAAGTTGTACAGTGACAGAGTCTTGGCCCATTTTAGGAAAGTTTTAAAGAGATGCCAGAAACAGAGCTCTCTGGACACTTTTTGCGAGACAGGACTCAGTGCCTCTCAAGCTGGTCCTAGTGGCATTAAGAAACAGAGAAGAGAAGTATGTAACCCCAGAAAAGGACTTGGTACCTGAAGTGTTGATGGAAGGGGATTCCCATTCCAAACAGTAACTAATCCAATCTCCTCCTCCAGTCTTCCATACACTAAGAAGAATCGCCAATAAAGGTAAGTGTTATGCTGTTAATGTTTCATTCATTATGTGCCATTGTATTGTTTATGTACTACATCTATATTTCATGTAAAAAAATTTTTTGTTTTAATACTTCTGGGTGTCAAGAACGAATTAATTGTATTTACATTATTTCTTATGGGGAAAATTTATTCGAAAATCGTCTATTTCGATAATTGTCGCACTTCCAGGAACGGATTAACGACGATAAACGAGGGACCACTGTAGTTTGGTAAGTTATGATCATACTAACATTAACCCCTAAACTGTCCAAACGTAGATCTACATTTTCACTGCCAGCGCTCCAAATATTTTGAAAAAAAAAATAATTGAAGGGGGCAATTTTCTGTGTGTAATAAGACCAAAAGGGAAATTTTCAGATCAGTACTTACTGAGATATAAGACCACAAAGTTGACGCTGGATGCTCACCTGACAGCAACATGGAGTCCTGCCGCTTGCAGAAGTGTTGCCGATATACCATTTTTTCTTCTTTTATTTTTTTAATTTATACGTATAATTTTTTTTGTTCTGATAATTACAAATTGTAGTATGCATTTCTTGTGATTTCATAGCCAATGTTTGTTCTGACACTGATGTTAGGTACTCAGATAGTCACAAACACACTGACAGGTGAACATTTTCACCTGCCTTGGTCACCTACTATTGTCTAGAAATATATACATAGTATTTATAGGTCCCAGCAATGTTTTAGACATGCTGGAGTATATATGAAACTCCTTGAAGCAGCACTGTATAAGACGAGTGTCACTCTATTGCTGACAGTGCAGCAGTGAGTGACACTTGATGATAGTGCACTGCGTTGGCTTTGTTTATTTTTGCTGTTACATATAAACATGTCTATCTGTTTGTCTGTCTATCTGTTTGTCTGTCTGTCTATTTGTCTGTCTGTCTAGCTTTGTCTCTTTGTCTCTGCTTATCTGTCTTTCTGCCTGTGTGTCTGTCTTCCTGTCTCTGTCTGCTTGTCTCTCTTTCTGTCTCAGAGAGCCACTCATGAACTAACATGAACACGATGCAGAGTCACATCTGATTCCTGAACAAGTGAAATGCGTATTACTTGCCAGTCATGCTTATAATGCCTTAAATCTACAAGCACAGTATAGCACTTTATCTGGATGTTTTGGGTTATCCTAGGTAATTTACACTATGTCTAATAACTATTTATGTATACCTGTGAGGTAGAGACAGGCAGAGATAGATACAGACAGACAGACGGAGATAGAGACAGCCAAAGTCAATCAGCCACCCGGCCAGCCAGCCACTTGGCCTGCCAAACACATTACACGTGTTCCAGAATCGTTTCTCTTTTCTTAGGGTATTCTGGCAGGATGACACTACCAGTGGTATCAGAAATGAAAAGATGTTGCACATGGGTTATTATCGAGGTTTTTGATATTTCCTCGACCACTTGTGGCCGCATCCATCTCAAAGCCACAAAACTTAGGGTCAACATCACTTTCCTCTTAAAAGGGAAGTGTTAATATGACATGGCATCAGTGAATCCCTGGTGTTTGCCACGCTATTTGCTGTAGGCGATGCTCAATTGAACTGGTGCTCCCACAAGGTACTAAGTGGTCCCAGATGTTTTTTAATACTGCGCACACCGAGTGTTAAAACCGATTCTATACTGGCCAGGCATCTCAGGCCAGTTGTGCCAAATTTGAAGGCAGGAAAAATAAAATATAGATTTAACCCTTAAATGGTCCAAACGTATATATACATTCACGTGCGTAGCGCCCCAAACGTATATATACGTTTTCTTTGTCATTCATTCAACACTGCCACAATAAGCGTGAGTCACCTAGACATGAGAGAATTGGTGTGCGCATTCACTGTGCACCATATTAAAATAATTGGGGATGCCTGGGTACCATATGCTCTTTTTTCCTATTAAAACACAATTTTTTTTTTCTCAAAAAATTTGGGGTGCTACGCGAGTGAACGTATATATATGTTTGGACCGTTTAGGGGTTAAGGGTTAAGAGTCATGCAATAGTTTTGTAAGTTATAATCATGTTAACATTGAGGGTCATTCAGTGTTTTGGTGAGGTATGATCATGTTAATATTGAGAGTCATGTAGTATTTTGGTAAGTTATGATCATGTTAACATTGAAGGTCATGCAGTATTTTGGTAAGTTATGATCATGTTAACATTGAAGGTCATGTAGTATTTTGGTAAGTTATGATCATGTTAACATTGAAGGTCATGCAGTAGTTGGTGTTACCTGTGAATTGGAACCATGCTATTTTCACTTATGTTTTTCATTACTATTTTTTTTTCTTTTCAGGTGGTACTTAAAGAAGTTTGAAGACTATCCAAAGAATCGTAAGGCAATATTTCCATTTCTTCTCTAAGACTGGACACCCTAAACCAACACACTGGCTGCTGGTTGTACTGTACTTGCCTCTGCAACACTTATGAAATATTATGTGAATCACATTGCACAAAAATTACATAGGCATTATTTTATTTTTTACATGGTTAATTTTCCATCAAGTCGGAGTGACCCAGGGAAGGAAATAAACGACTTAATAACTCACTTGCAAGAATTCCCTGGACATCTCTTATCAGATTAAGCTCTGAGCTGCTAAGATAGAAGTAAACCAGTGACTGGTGCCTAATGGCCCATTATTATTAATTAGAAAAGTGCATGGGGTTAACAGAGATAAAGCCCAGAGAGCTGAGAAGAGGTTATTGAGATGGTTAGTGCATTTAGAGAGGATGAAGCAGAATAGAATGACTAAGAGTGTGTGTAAATCTAGACTGGAGTGAAGGAGAGATAGGGGTCATACCTGGAGTCTACCTAGAGAATGTTTCAAGGGTCAATGCCTTTGTGGCCCAGTTCCAGACTAGGCCTCCAAGTGAATGACTTGACCAGCCAGGCTATTAGTGCTTGCTACACTAAGTTCAATATAAGCACCACAGCCTGGCAGATCACACAGTGACTTGAGAAACTTGTCCAGTTCTTTCTTGAAGACAGCAATGGGTCTGTTAGTAATCCCCTTTATGTATGAAGAGGGCATTGAAATGTTTTGAACTCTTCACACTTATTGAGTTGTCTCTTAGTGTACTCATTACACTTTCTCTTTACTTAGGATATTTGTACCATCTACCAAGCCTCTTTCATGGGGAATGATTTGCGTGTGTAGAGTTGGGACCAATTCTAGAAGTACAGATTGAGGGACTTGCAATGTTTCCAGTAGTTTAGGTGCTTTACTGAATCTATGCAAGCAGTGAAGGTTATCTACACATTCTCCAGGTCTTCAATTCTACCTGGCTTGAATGGAGCTGTTAGAGTACAGCAGTACTCCAGTCTAGTGAGAGCAGATGACCTAAAGAGTGTCATCATTGGCTTGGCATCCTTTGTTTTGAAGATTCTAGTTATCCAACCTGTCATTTTCCTTGCAGTTGAGATAGTGACACTTGTCATCCTTGAAGGTGAAATCATCTGTCATATTCAACCCTAGGTCTCTCACATTACTCTTATGCTCTATTGAGTGATTCAAGTGTCTTTTATACTCCTTTCCTGTCTTTTCATAGTAGAGTAACTGAAGGTTTTAAGTGCTAGGGGCTTGAGCATCCAGCAAGCTTGTGTGAGTGTGGTAGATGTGAATGAGTGGTTTTTATGGCTTGATGTGCTATTGGAGTGTGAGTAAAGTAACATTTATGATGGGATTCAGGGAAACTGGTTAGCTAGACTTGAGTCCTGGAGGTAGGATGTACAATACCTTCACCCTCAAGGAAAGGTGGGGATAGTGCAGTTTGGAGAGTCACTTTAATTGTGATGTATGTAAACATTTGGCAAGACAGCTATTAAATGAATGATGGTGAATGTATTTCCTTTTCTTGGGTCACTACTCTGGTGAGAGATGACCAGTGTATTAAATAAAAAAATATGTAAATTTAGTCCTAGATTAACCCAGGTAAGAAGAATACTCTTGTATAACTGAAGTACAACCTCACGAGGTATCACTTTTATAAAAATACCTTGTTTTTTGTGTTATATAATATCCTTGATTTTTTTTTATTGAAATATCTTGTATAATATCACTATATTTTGTATAAGATCACTATATTTTTTAAATTCATTGTTACAGGTATGTCATATTACAGATACTTTTTAAATCCTATATTGGTAATATTATTATTAGTAGTAGTATTGTATAGCATCTGTTTACTACATTAATATTTCAAAATTTAAATTTTATGTCACATTAATGTGACGTATACAACCCAATTCACTAAAATTCAGTAGTCACCATATATCCTGCTGGCAAAATTGTGCACTCATAGCATAAGTCAAACTTTCTAATCCCAATATAGGTGGTCCTTGACTTACAATGGGGTTATGTTCCAACGAACCCATCATAGGTTGGCGATATCGTAAATCAAACATGAATATGATATGCTCAGTAAATAAGTAAATAAATAACTACAGTCACTGAATAAGTAAATAAACAAATAATTATTGTAACTAAATACTACTTGTATTGAAAAGTAAATAAATGAATACAAGTTACGGACTTGCCACCTTCATGATGAGTAATTACTTCAAGTTTCTTCTCCAAAGTAATTGCTTTTGCACCATCGTAAAATTGATATATCGTAAGTCGAGGAGAACCTGTATCTATATTGTTTATATTGTAATCAATGAATGGTAATATTGATCCTAAGCTACATCTTCTCTCACTGATCTACATAGTAACCAATTTACATGGATGAAAACTTCAAATATTATACAGCAAACAATATTATTATTATTATTATTATTATTATTATAATCAAAAAGAAGCGCTAAGCAACAAGGGCTATACAGCGCTGCAGGGTAGGGAAGGAAGTGAGGGTATCGGGCAGCAGAAGGGGGTAGGGATGATTAGTAGGTTACAGAAAACAGCGGGGCAGGGGATAGTGCGGGGGTAGAGGGTAGCAAGAGATTGAGGTAGAAAGGGCTGAAGGTATCATCATCTTCAGCAACAGCAGGAACATATCACTATATAACTACAGGTAGGCCCCGCTTATACAGCAGGTTAGGTTCTGGGCTACTGCTGTAAAGTGAAACACAGCTATTTTTTATTTTCAAATGCTTATAAAAGCCTGATAACATGTTTACACTATCATATATTATGTGAGCAATAGAGCTAGACCTAAAAAAAAACGTGTATATAATACACATATTACCTTTAAAATATTTTTGTCCTTTGCTTAGAGTGAGTGGTAAATATCTTTAATGTAGGAAGTCTGAATAAATGAAGAATGGGTATAATTGATAGCTACTTCATTAGTGAAATGCTGTAAAGCAGGGCCTGCCTGTACATTGACTCACAAAATCATAACATGATTAAAAAAAAAAAAAAAAAAAAAAACAGAACAGGTGAGGTTTGAACCCAAGACCAGGCCAGTGTGTAAGCCACTGGGCCAGCTGGCTACAATAAGATTCATCCAACTAGGTATATTTCTATACTCCATAGGGAGGTTAGCATGGGCCACCACTGTGACCACAAATGCAAGTTTTTACAGATGAATCTTCCACCAGCATGACTGTGGCAAACTCTAGCTCTAGTCCCCTGTCATGAGTTCAAACCCCATCCATTCTTTGGTTTATTCAACTACCCCAATTTAACAGATTTCTGATGGACAATGTTTCGAAACACCAGACAAACTCTGTTAAATCTAGAATTGTCTGTTACTGCTATAGTCCATTGGGTAAATTCATTTCAGATTTAACAGTCTCTTAAATCCAGAATTGTCTGCTGTGTAAATATTTTTTTAATTAACAGATAAAGTCTGTTAGATTCAGAATTTCCTGTTAAGATCATTGAAGAATATTCTCAAAATTCAGATTCAACTGACAGTCTGTACTATGATGGTAATGGTGCACTACTAGAGTCACGAAACAAACTTAACAATTACTATTTTCACAGAAACCTGTCTGAATGATCATACAATTGACTTTCATAATAAATCGAGTGTAGAATCTTACATGACTTCCGACGTGATTGAAAGGTTGGTAGAACTGCAATTTATACACTGATGAAATGAAATATATTAATTCAACTTCAACTAGAAATGAACTTTGGGAATACATACACAAGTAACCTGCACATGATACTATGACAACATTTCAGTCTGACTAGGGCTGAAGTGTCATAATGAGTTTCATTCTCCTATGTGTGGGTTATTCGTGTATTGTTTCAGATACGGTATTGTGCCTTTTTATTTTTGGGGGGAATACATATTTGTGCAATTTACAACCAAAAAAAAAACTCAGACTACAATCACAATAAGAGTAATCTGCAGCTTATCATTCTTCTTCTTCTTTCGACACACTGGCTGCATCCCACCAAGGCAGGGTGACCTATAAAGAAAAGCAAAAGTTTTCTTTTTAAATTTAATAATTTATGCTGGAGAATGGGTTTCAGCTCATCATATACCAGCTTGAGACCTAATTATAAACAGGGAAATAAATTAACATCTAGTAATTGCTCTAGACTAACATGAACCTCAACCAGTCAGAAGACCCCTAAGTAGCACCAGACTGTTTATAATTATAACCTTAATTTTTAAAGGGGTGGAGGGGTAAGGCAGTGGAAGGCCTCAGTCAGATGACCAGAAGCTCAAGTGGCGGGTCATCATGTGAATATGACCTGCATCTGGAAAAACTTGTCCTGTTTCCTGACCACTCTTACCTAACCTAACCCAAGTAGCAAGTTTCCTAAACAGTATGTATAGTTAGTGGAAGCTTTATAGTGGTATTGACAAGTTGAAGACAAAAGACACATTACAGTAGAACCCTTGTACCCATGGATTCGGCTTTCACAGTTTCAGTTATCCACGGTTTATCGTGGCCCAAAAATAATCCTCAATTTTAATATTTTATTTTTATTATCACACCGGCCGATTCCCACCAAGGCAGGGTGGCCCGAAAAAGAAAAACTTTCACCATCATTCACTCCATCACTGTCTTGCCAGAAGGGTGCTTTACACTACAGTTTTTAAACTGCAACATTAACACCCCTCCTTCAGAGTGCAGGCACTGTACTTCCCATCTCCAGGACTCAAGTCCGGCCTGCCGGTTTCCCTGAATCCCTTCATAAATGTTACTTTGCTCACACTCCAAACAGCACGTCAAGTATTAAAAACCATTTGTCTCCATTCACTCCTATCAAACACGCTCACGCATGCCTGCTGGAAGTCCAAGCCCTCGCACACAAAACCTCCTTTACCCCCTCCCTCCAACCCTTCCTAGGCCGACCCCTACCCCGCCTTCCTTCCACTACAGACTGATACACTCTTGAAGTCATTCTGTTTCGCTCCATTTCTCTCTACATGGTCCGAACCACCTCAACAACCCTTCCTCAGCCCTCTGGACAACAGTTTTGGTAATCCCACACCTCCTCCTAACTTCCAAACTACGAATTCTCTGCATTATATTCACACCACACATTGCCCTCAGACATGACATCTCCACTGCTCCAGCCTTCTCCTCGCTGCAACATTCATCACCCACGCTTCACACCCATATAAGAGCGTTGGTAAAACTATACTCTCATACATTCCCCTCTGTGCCTCCAAGGACAAAGTTCTTTGTCTCCACAGACTCCTAAGTGCACCACTCACTCTTTTTCCCTCATCAATTCTATGATTCACCTCATCTTTCATAGACCCATCCGCTGACACGTCCACTCCCAAATATCTGAATACGTTCACCTCCTCCATACTCTCTCCCTCCAATCTGATATTCAATCTTTCATCACCTAATCTTTTGTTATCCTCATAACCTTACTCTTTCCTGTATTCACCTTTAATTTTCTTCTTTTGCACACCCTACCAAATTCATCCACCAATCTCTGCAACTTCTCTTCAGAATCTCCCAAGAGCACAGTGTCATCAGCAAAGAGCAGCTGTGACAACTCCCACTTTGTGTGTGATTCTTTATCTTTTAACTCCACGCCTCTTGCCAAGACCCTCGCATTTACTTCTCTTACAACCCCATCTATAAATATATTAAACAACCACGGTGACATCACACATCCTTGTCTAAGGCCTACTTTTACTGGGAAAAAATTTCCTTCTTTCCTACATACTCTAACTTGAGCCTCACTATCCTCGTAAAAACTCTCACTGCTTTCAGTAACCTACCTCCTACACCATACACTTGCAACATCTGCACATTGCCCCCTATCCACCCTGTCACTACGCCTTTTCCAAATCCATAAATGCCACAAAGACCTCTTTAGCCTTACTAAATACTGTTCACTATATGTTTCACTGTAAACACCTGGTCCACACACCCCTACCTTTCCTAAAGCCTCCTTGTTCATCTGCTATCCTATTCTCGTCTTACTCTTAATTCTTTCAATTATAACTCTACCATACACTTTACCAGGTACACTCAACAGACTTATCCCCCTATAATTTTTGCACTCTCTTTTATCCCCTTTGCCTTTATACAAAGGAACTATGCATGCTCTCTGCCAATCCCTAGGTACCTTACCCTCTTCATTACATTTATTAATAATTGCACCAACCACTCCAAAACTATATCCCCACCTGCTTTTAACATTTCTATCTTTATCCCATCAATCCCGGCTGCCTTACCCCTTTCATTTTACCTACTGCCTCACGAACTTCCCCCACACTCACAACTGGCTCTTCCTCACTCCTACAAGATGTTATTCCTCCTTGCCCTATACACGAAATCACAGCTTCCCTATCTTCATCAACATTTAACAATTCTCAAAATATTCCTTCCATCTTCCAATACCTCTAACTCTCCATTTAATAACTCTCCTCTCCTATTTTTAACTGACAAACCCATTTGTTCTCTGGCTTTCTTAACTTGTTAATCTCACTCCAAAATTTTTTCCCTTTTTTCAACGAAATTTGTTGATAACATCTCACCCACTCTCTCATTTGCTCTCTTTTTACATTGCTTCACCACTCTCTTAACTTCTCTCTTTTTCTCCATATACTCTTCCCTCCTTGCATCACTTCTACTTTGTAAAAACTTCTCATATGCTAACTTTTTCTCCCTTACTACTCTCTTTACATCATCATTCCACCAATCGCTCCTCTTCCCTCCTGCACCCACTTTCCTGTAACCACAAACTTCTGCTGAACACTCTAACACTACATTTTTAAACCTACCCCATACCTCTTCGACCCATTGCCTATGCTCTCATTAGCCCATCTATCCTCCAATAGCTGTTTATATCTTACCCTAACTGCCTCCTCTTTTAGTTTATAAACCTTCACCTCTCTCTTCCCTGATGCTTCTATTCTCCTTGTATCCCATCTACCTTTTACTCTCAGTGTAGCTACAACTAGAAAGTGATCTGATATATCTGTGGCCCTCTATAAACATGTACATCCTGAAGTCTACTCAACAGTCTTTTATCTATCAATACATAATCCAACAAACTACTGTCATTTCGCCCTACATCATATCGTGTATACTTATTTATCCTCTTTTTCTTAAAATATGTATTACCTATAACTAAACCCCTTTCTATACAAAGTTCAATCAAAGGGCTCCCATTATCATTTACACCTGGCACCCCAAACTTACCTACCACACCCTCTCTAAAAGTTTCTCCTACTTTAGCATTCAAGTCCCCTACCACAATTACTCTCTCACTTGGTTCAAAGGCTCCTATACATTCACTTAACATCTCCCAAAATCTCTCTCTCTTCCTCTGCATTCCTCTCTTCTCCAGGTGCATACACGCTTATTATGACCCACTTCTCGCATCCAACCTTTACTTTAATCCACATAATTCTTGAATTTACACATTCATATTCTCTTTTCTCCTTCCATAACTGATCATTTAACATTACTGCTACCCCTTCCTTTGCTCTAATTTTCTCAGATACTCCAGATTTAATCCCATTTATTTCCCCCCACTGAAACTCTCCTACCCCCTTCAGCTTTGTTTCGCTTAGGGCCAGGACATCCAACTTCTTTTCATTCATAACATCAGCAATCATCTGTTTCTTGTCATCCGCACTACATCCACGCAATTTAAGCAACCCAGTTTTATAAAGTTTTTCTTCTTCTCTTTTTTAGTAATTGTATACAGGAGAAGGGGTTACTAGCCCATTGCTCCCGGCATTTTAATAATAATAATAATATATACTGTACTATATATAATAATATCTTTATTTTTACAAGTATATGTACAAGCTACACATGCCTGGCTGACATCAGTGACATGCTGCTATATAGAAAGTGGTTGTTATGCAGAGCATTTCAGGCAAATTATGTCAGTTTTGTCCCAGGATGCGACCCACATCAGTCAACTAATACCCAGGTACCCATATTACTAATGGGAAACATAGACAGCCAGTGTAAAGAAACATGCCCAATGTCTGTACCTTCACCGGGAATCAAAACCAGACCCTCACTGTGTGAAGCAAGAGCTTTAGCCACCAGGACACGGGGCACCGTTGGCCCCAAAGCACAAAAGTAGAGAAGTTGGCAGTTCTTCAAAGCCAAAGAGAAACCGTGAAGTGCTTCCCATTAGTGAAAAAATTATAATTCTCCACTTACTGTGTGTAATTTATCAATTTATTGTAGGTATGTACCGTATTTTGCAGTTTATTACACGCATTTTTTTTTTTTCCATAAAATGTCTCCAGAATCATCCTGCATCCTATAAACTGAAGGTCAGTGACAGGAGCTATAAGTTTGGGGTGTAGAGTGGGCTGTAGCTCTCCCATTTACGTCTGATGCCAAGCCATTGAAACTAAAACAAGTCCAGTGTTTCAAAATTACAGTAAATTAATAACGTTTTGAGACAAGCTGTTTATGAAATACAGTGGACCCTCAGCTAACGATGGCATCAGCTAACGTTAAATCCAGCTAACGATACATTTTAATGCAAAAATTTTGCCTCAACTAATGCTAAAAAACTCGCCCAATGCGATTCGTTCGAGACGCGTCCACGTGTGGCCTGAGCGCGCCTCAGTTGTCCCGTGGATGCCAGTGTTTACAAGCCAGCCAGTGCGGTTGCATCTATGCATACAATCGGAACATCTCATATTATCACAGCGTTTTTAGTGATTGTACCTATAAAATAAGTCACCATGGGCCCCAAGAAAGCTTCTAGTACCACCCCTGTGATAAAAAGGGTGAGAATTAGTATGGAAATTAAGAAAGATTTTGAAGGGTTTGGGGCTAACCCTGAGATGCCTATGCCAGTTGTGGAATCCATTGTGCCCACTTCAAAGATTAAGGAAATGTGTGCAAAGTGGGTTGAACTGCAAACCTTTATGGATGAAAATCACCTTAACACAGCTATTGCAAGCCATGCTGGTGACTATTACACTGACAATGTTGTGGCCCATTTTAGGCAAATCTTAAAGGAACGGGAGGTACTGACCTCTATAGACAGATTTATTGTGTGGCAGAGGTCCAGTGACTCTCAAGCTGGACCTAGTGGCATTACAAGAAGAAGGGAAGTAACCCCGGAAAAGGACTTGATACCTCAAGTCCTAATGGAAGGGGATTCCCCTCTAAACATTAAAAACTTCCACACTCTCCCCTCCTCCCATCCCATCAATCATCACCAGATCTTCAATAAAGGTAAGTGTCAGTTTGTGTGTATTAAAATTAATATTTCATGTGGTAAAAATTTTTTTTTTTCATACTTTGGGGTGTCTTGCACAGATTAATTTGATTTCCATTATTTCTTATGGGGAAAATTAATTCAGCTAATGATAATTTCAGCTAACGATGAGCTTTCAGGAACGGATTAACCCTTTGACTGTCGAAAGGCCCAATCCTGAAGTGTCTCCTGGTGTCGCAAAATATTCAAAAAAAAAAAAATTATTTTTTCTTATGAAAATGTTAAGATTATTTTTCTGATTGTTTTAGTCCCAAAAAAAAATTTTCCCATCAGTACTTACCGAGATATAGAGTCCTGAAGTTTGCTGAAATTGATCTGTGAACGGCAACAACGGCGACTGCCGCTCACCCGGTAAACTTTGATTTACTTGTATTCGATGGTTTCTTGTTTTTTTTCACTATTTTATTTTTTCACATAACTTTTGTGGCCTGTGAGACCAAATTATTGTGCAATGTTCAAATATACACTAGTTGAATGTAACACAATTATAGCAAAAACACTCGTATCATGATAATGTTGCTAAAACTTGTTTACACAAACAAACAATGTAAACAAATGTTTATTATGATTGTTCTATAATATATATACATATGTACAATCACTGGACACTTTTCTAGAACTGCTGCAGCTTGTGGAATTCTTTGAAACATGGGTATAAGCACAATGGTGTCTTACACTCCTCACACATAAAACGAGTGTCTGTGCGTTTTTGTGGGCGTTTTGTGGTATGTCCACAGACAAAACACCTGAGCATTTTTCTTGGCAGTAGTAGCAGTCAGTGGTATGGGGTAGTGATCACCAGGCCTCAGACGAGAGGACATGTGTTGATAATTTCGTGGGCGCTGGTCTATTGCAGGTGTTGTTCTTGGTACTTGAATATATTTTGTCTGATGACTGACAAACAAAATTCACCATATTTGGGTTTCTTGTTGGTCTTCAACTTATACATATTATAAGCATTCAGCATGGAAATGTCAAGAAGATGGAAAAACAGTTTTATGTACCACTTATAACGCTTGCGAACACAGTCAGCAAACCCAATCTGCATGTCACATTTGTCCACTAAGGGCATATTGAGGTTGTAATCCATCACAGCTGCAGGTTTTACAATGGGTTCATTGGTCTCTCTATTCTGCTTGCCAGTGTCTACCATTTCGTGTTGGTGAACTGATGTCAGCAGTGTGACATCACTTTTGTCATGCCACCGAAATGCCATGATGTCATTGGCAGCAAACACCTGCACTTCACCTCTACGACTGCCAGCATCGAACCTAGGCATATGTTTACGATTTCCACGCACTGTTGTGCCAGGAGCTGAGTCTCGACCCCTGCAACCACAATTAGGTGAGTACATCTGTCATGTTCACTCGCAAGAAATCACTGAGTATAGGGCTTGTGTACCAGTTGTCAGTATATAAAATATGCCCCTTACCAAGATATGGCTCCATCATTGTTCTAACCACATCACCAGAGATACCCAGTAACTTTCTGGTATCTTCCAATGTTTTACCGCCAGTGTACACAATTATATCAAACGAGACCAGTTTTGCAATCACACAGAACAAATAATTTTATACCAAAGCGTTTCCTCTTGCTTGGTATATACTGCTTGAATGAGAGTCTTCCTTTGAACAAAATCAAAGACTCATAATAACAAGCTTCCTGAAGGATAAAAATACATACAGCACTATTGTTTCAGGTACATAAACACACGTCTGATTCTTATATAACCTGTCGCTTCTGTCAGGCCTGGTTTTGTCTGAAAAGTGTAACATACGTAACAGTAACACAAATTTATTCACTGGTATAATGTCACTGAAAGCAGGGGTTGAAATCAGGCGGTCTGTCGCCCAGTATGTGTTGACACTATGCTTATACACATGTGGCATAAGCATTATTGTGGCAAAGAACAGATACATCTCTGCCACAGTTGTGTCCTTCCACTGGTGTAGGCGTGATCTTGGTGACAGAATAGTGTTTGCCCTGGTGTACTCATAGTATGTATTGCTTTCCCTGACAATAATGTTCATCAGGGGTTCATCGAAGAACAACTGAAAGCATTCCAGTTCGGTGGGATTGTTCCCAAGTGTACATGATGGCCGTATTCCACTTTGTCCTCCATCAAAGTCATGGGGATTGGGAACAAACTCGTCATCTTGCTGCCAATCCCAGATGCGGTCAGCTGGTGCGTTCTGGATATTGTAATGTGGTTGTGGTTGTGCAGGTTGTGGTTGTGGTTGTTGTGGGAGTGTGGGGTCGGGTGAGGCTGGTTGTAGTTGTGCAGAGTCAGCAGCGCAGGTAGTAGCGTGGCCCGCTGCTGGTGTCACATGACTCATGCCACCATCACTATCACCACCACCGCCTGCTGCCTCACTTGCATCATTGATACCCATCGTAACAATATCGTCATCTTCACTATCAGGACGTGGTGTAGGGCCACGGGATGTGCTCCGAGATGTACTCCGAGATATACTCCTTCCTCTTGGAAGAGCATATGGCACACTACCAGACCGCATGCGATGTCGTATATACTGCCACTTCACTGGGGAATATTCACCCTCACTGTCACAACTAGAACTGCTTTCAATAACCTTGAAATCACTATCACTATCACTTGCACTGCTCACATCTGAGTCTTGTACACGGGCAAATAGTTTTCTCTTTCGTCCTGGTACAGGTGAACATGAATGAGCCGGCCCAGCACCAGAGGTGGAAGGTTGTGGGGAATCTGGGTTTTCATCACTAATTATGTTATCCTGGGCACTTTTTTCAGTCACACCTGCTTCAAAACCAGGGAATTCACTTTCACTGACACTTTCATCACTGTTTGAGCTATCACTTGGGAACAAAAGACCTCCAATCCGCGAGGAGTGAGGAACTTCTTACCGCGAGGCATGGTGAAAATGGACTACCAAGATGGCGTTCCCACAATGCACCGCTGAGTCCCAGATTTTTTTCACAGGGTGCACACCGACCACTGAGACCCATTCTCTCTTGTGTAGGCCTACCAGCCCTCTCCCGCTTGATTTGAAGCTGCTAGAATTTATGCGTATAGATCAAACACGGTATCTCCCATGACATATATATACGACCGCAACAGTCAAGGGGTTAATATCGTTAGCTGAGGGTCCACTGTACAGATACTGTACTGGTATATTGACAGAAAACGAAATTCCTCCTTAAGTAACACCTTCCTTTCTTATTTCTTAAGCTATGAAGTCACAAAGCAGCGTCATTTCTGGTAGGAACTTTAAAATATTGCTACCATATTCTACGGTATCGTTAGCACATGCTGGGTATTTTCACTTTATTACTAGGTACTGGTAATCATTTTTACCTTATGTTATGGTACTTATAGTGTCAAATATTGCCAAGCAAATACGGTGGCCCAACAACAGCTGAAGCAGCCATTTTTGTTTGTACTGATAGTCACTGACAAAGATGCATCAGTATGCACTCTGGGAGCCTCACTATATAAAGTTGTGCACACAGCAGCAACTCAGCCCCAGACAACTGTTTCACCAGTTCAGATTGAGAGATCATCGGGGTGCTCAGGTGAGCACTAGGCCTATCCTATGTTTTGACCTACCCATAAATCAAATGTAACCTTATTTCTGCATGTAAAATTACCATAGCTTTCAGTGGAGTAAATATTACTTGGTATTAGGCACTCTCAACTTTTTTTTCTGATTAATATCTTCTAAATTGGGATGCGTCTAATGCATCAGAGCATCTTGTAAGCCGCAAAATGTATACAAATGGAAAAGACTTTTATAAAGGGTTGGCTATTATCTACAGTTTTGGGTATCCGCGGTAGCTCTTGTAATGCATTACCCCATGGATTTGGGGGGACCACTGTGCATTGTTCAGGACAATTATTAGGGAAATATTTCAGCACAAGTGGCTTCTGTCCTTAATTAGGACTCAAGAAGCCACCAGTAGTGAAGTGTTTCCTTAATAAATGCCCTTTTGGGCCACCTTGCCTCAGTGGGATACAGCCAATTTGTTGAAAAAAAAAATGTACGGTGTGTAGGCTGAGGAGGGGCTGTTGAAGAGGTTTGGTCATTTAGAGAGTAAAATAAGCAAAATAAGATGACCTGTAGGGTGTATAAATCTGTCGTGTAGGGAGGCGGAGTAGAGATCGTCACAGAACAGGATGGATGGAGAGGGTGGAGGAGGTTTTGTGTGAAACGGACTTCGAGATATATCAGGCATGTGTGATCGTGTTAGAAGTAGAGACAAATGATTTTTAGGATTTGATAAGCTGTTGGAGTGTGAGCAAGGTAATATTTTGTGAAGGGATTCAGGGAAACTGGTTAGCCAGACTTGAGTCCTGGAGGTGGGAAGTACAGTGCTTGAACTCTGAAGGAGGGGTGGAGATATGTTGCACTTTTTGAGCTGTAGTATTGGCACACCTCTGACAAGACAGTGATGGAGTGAGTGATGATGAATGTGTTTCTTCTCTTTCAGGTCACCCCTGACTTGGAGGGAAATAGCCGATGTGTTATAAAAGAAATAATTCTTTGATATTAGTGAATGTTCTTGAACCCAGTATTTAGCCCTTAAACGGTCCAAACGTATATATACGTTTTTTCAACATCTGAAAGTATATAAAGAAATGTAGATCTTTTTTTGTTTTACATTTGAAAACATGTAAAAAAAACTTTTATGTACATTTTTTTTTGTTATATTTGAAAATATGTAAAAAAAAGTAGATCTACTTTTGTAGCACTACGAATTTGAACGTCGATCTGTTTGGACCGTTTAAGGGTTAATTAAGAGAATGCTTTTTCAGTGTTTTTACTTTCTTTAGTTACAATGAAAAATATAAATAACTTGTGCATAGAAAAATGAAACTTATGACAATATTTTAGTCTGTCTTGAAACATTAACTAGTCACATTGAAGCGTGATGGGAAGGGAGCCATTATTGTGCCTTTTTATTCTTTTCAGTTATCTGTTATCATAATGCAATTTTTTAATTTATTGATGAGTTTTGTGTGTGATGATGTACAGTATCTTTTTCATGGCTCTATGTATATTATGCCCAGTTCACAATGTTTTTCATATATGGTAAATACATTTTGCCAGTGGATCTGAGGATGTTGTTGGTTAGCCATGGACTTAATTACTTAATATTTATATCGTGACCTGATTTTAAGTAATGAATAAACAGAAAGGTGAATGGAAGGTTTGGACCATGGTCCCAAGATTGACAGGTCCAGTGATTTACCGCTTCAGCCTGTCAATATTGGGACCACAGCTAGAGTCTCCCATCCATCTTTCTGTTTATTCATTGACAATCATTTATTATGACTTAATCTAAGTTCTTAAATGACATTGTTTATTGTAGAGGCTTTGAATTTTTATTGTAAGAATATATGAACACATTAATTAATGACTTGATATTTGTTAAGATTAGTAAGGCATTGAGGGGGAAGGGTGTGAAATAGAATTGTGATGAACCTCATGTTCACTTCACTGATTCTTACTTTATTTGCTCCTCAGCTTATTTTTTTTTTAACACACTGGCTGTCTCCCACCAAGGTAGGGTGACCTGAAAAAGAAACACTTTCACCATCATTCACACCATCACTGTCTTTCCTTTTTTTTTTTTCACTGAACTGGCTGTATCCCACCAAGGAGGTTGACCTAAAAGGAAAAATGAAAGTTACCTTAGTCTTTCTTCTTTCTTTCTTCTTTCAACGTACCAGCAGTATCCCACCGAGGCGGGGTGGCCCAAAAGGAAAAACGAAAGTTTCTCCTTTCAAATTTAGTAATATATACAGGAGAAGGGGTTACTAGCCCCTTGCTCCCGGCATTTTAGTTGCCTCTTATGACACGCATGGCTTACGAAGGAAGAATTCTGGTCCACTTCCCAATGGAGTTTCCTTAGTATCAACAGTAAATCCTGATTGGAACAATTATGTTTTAATATTTGTCCTTATTTAGTATGGTGTTCCTGGTGAGGACACTGCCAGCCACTGTTACTGATTGTTGTAGTAAAGTTATTCACTGATGCCTCATCATGGAACCTGAAGATGATTTTATTAGTCTCAAGTGATAATTTTGTTACATTGGTGACCCTGAAGATGGGGTAATGATTACTTGTATTGTCATTGATAATGTCTGTTTCTAGAGGAGTTGTTGTATCCAGATGTCGTTAAGTGAAATTGCAGTTGTCTTCTTAATTTTTATGGACTTTATTATTGATGGACCCAATGTGCTGTTAGAGTGTGAGCTAGGTAACATTTTGTGAAGGGATTAAGGGAAACTGGTTAGCCAGACTTAGAATCCTGGAGGTGGGAAGTACACCTCCAGGACTCTAAGTCTGGGGTGGAGACATTTGCTGCTTGGATGAACATCTGAAATGTCATATCTATGCACCTCTCAGAAGACAATGATAGTGTGAATGACAGTGAAAATGTTTCTTTTTTGGGTCACCCTACCTTGTTGGAAGATGGCCATTGTGCTAGAAAAGTAATTATGCACAGTTATACATGTTCCTTGGTAAACCAGGTACTTGTGGGTCTTATAATTGAATGAGATTGATATTAAAGACTCCAGCAATTTCCTAATGTTTATTTAGTTTATTTTTTAAGATTAGGCTTTTAAATATATCACCAGAGTTTGCTATATTGGTATGTAGTGATCTGTAGACAACTTTGTTGTGGTTGGAATGTTTCAGTTTTTGTTTGTAAGTTGTGCAACTATGTACAGTATTTCCAAGTTTGTCTGTGGTAATGTTGAGGTAATATATTTCATCTCATTTATGTAATAGACTGCAGCTCCACCTCTATGTTGATAAGGTCTGCATTTTTGTATAGCTGTATACCAGGTAAGTGACAAGTATCTATAGTATTATAATTTAGCTTGGTGCCTAACTCTGTTATGAAAGTTAGGTTTGCACTTATAATAATAAAAATAATAATATAATAAATTTATTTCTTTTCTGCAGTATACGGGTAATGTAGTTTACAAGTAATAAAATATAATTAGGCACAAAAGAAAGCCACTAGCTTGCTGTGCATTTTGGGAACAACATGCTTAAAGAGTACCTAAGACCTAGATGTAGATTATTAAGTACACTGGAACCTCAGTACTCAAACCTAATTCATTCCAGAAGGCTGTTTGAGTGCCGATCTATTCGAGTATCAAACGAGTTTCCCAACTGGTTTTCTTTTTGGTTGGCTGTTATCACTAATCTTTCTAAGCCCCATGGTGACTTATTCATACAAATAAATAAAAAACACCAAAAAATGCGAAGAAACACAAAATAGTTTACAGCGAAGTTCTGGCAGGTCGTGTTTGTTTGGTCGAGTGCCAAGCTTTGTTCGAGTAGGGAGCTATACAGTGATGTCATCAGTGTGTACTTAGGGACTGGGTTTTGTAGCTACATGCCAAATGTTCTCGATGTTATTAAGACATTTTTTTTCTTTGGCTTGCGGCATAATATTTGAAGTCTTGGTTTGCAAAAAGGTTATATGTTTATGAAATAATAATTATCACTGCACTGTCAGAACATCTTCAATAAAGGTCCCACATGAGTGTCTTCGTGTCTTCTTACCATTTTTTTTTTTTTTAACAAATTGGCCATCTTCCACCAAGGCAGGGCGACACAAAAAAAGAAGAAATGCTTTCATCATCACTCACTCCATCACTGTCTTGCCAGAGGGGCACTGATACTACACTAACACTGCATATATCCCCACCCCTCCTTCTGAGTGCAGGCACTGTAATTCCCACCTCCAGGACTCAAGTCTGGCTAATGGTTTCCTTCTTACCATCATGTTGGTTTTTAAGATCATTATTTTTTTCATTGGAAATGCTTGCGTACCACCAATCAACTCTCTCAGTTGACCTTCTCAGCTTGTTGCATCACCATTGATAATGATGCTGAATACACTGATAAAAATATAATTCCCCATATTTATATAATAGGAATGTATCAGACAGCTAGAAGAGGAAATTCTGTGTCCTCTGACAGCTTAGCCTGGGTTTGACTGCAGTAATGTACAACACATTACAGTAATTACACATTATTTATACAATGCAGTGTGTACCACACTGTAGAATTCTGCAATAGCCACGTTTGTTGGTGACTGATAAAAAATATAATAAAGAGCGAGAATGAGTGACAATGCAAAGAAATGGTTTAGTGAATGTATCTGGTAGAGTCACTGAGTTTCATGTCACAGGTGCCAGCACACTACCCAGGCGGCTGGTGTAGCAATTTGTTAAATATTTAGCAGCATAAATATATAGCAGCATAATTCAGGTTGATGATAAGTTAGTGCTTGTTCATAATTTTACTAAATTATCGACAAACACGGAAACTCCTGACCAATCAGGGGATTGATAATGTCAGTGGGATCACTGACATTTGTCACAAATAGTAATGATTGCTGGCACCACATACAGTAACATCCAACATACATTATATCATTTTTACACATTCATCTTGCTTTGTATGCTCAAATATCTACAAATATCTGGAAATGGGAAGTACAATGCCTGCACTTTAAAGGAGGGGTTTGGGATATTGGCAGTTTGGAGGGATATGTTGTGTATCTTTATATGTGTATGCTTCTAAACTGTTGTATTCTGAGCACCTCTGCAAAAACAGTGATAATGTGCAAGTGTGGTGAAAGTGTTGAATGATGATGAAAGTATTTTCTTTTTGGGGATTTTCTTTCTTTTTTGTTTTGGGGTCACCCTGCCTCGGTGAGAGACGGCCGACTTGTTGAAAAAAAAAGAAAAAAGTTAGAATTTTACAACAGTCATTTGTAATTGAGAGAAAATATCATACAGTAATCATAACATCAATGGTATACAGTATCCACACGTTGATGAATTTGACATGTGCAACATCAGTGTTATACAGTGTTCACATGTTGATGAATTAGTCACGTGCAAAATCTGTATTTTGAAGATATTTTCCCAGCCAGTGGCTTTCTCAATGTTTCCTGTAGGTGCTTCAGATTATATCAAGACTTATGTACTGAGCACCTTCAAGACTAAGAGACTGATTACTGTACCTTATCTTTTACTCTTTTCCATATATGTGTCTGCAGTGAATTGAAAAAGTTACTGGTTGGCATAATATTTTGAAAATAAAGATACCCAGGTGTTGTAAGTGTCTAATTTATCATAATACAGTAACTAGTCAGGAGACAAGTAAAATGAAGTGTTTTGAAAAATTGTGGAAGGAATGCTTGTATATTTATCAGGTGTATTTTCACAGCCACCCAAAGTGGGTGGCCATATGTGGCCCTTCTAGGAAATGGATATAGCCCCCACATGAAATTATGAATTCACTTTTATGTAGGTTCCACACTGCCCAGTGTCATCAAAACCATGTAGCTCTCATCGTACATTTGACCATCAAATGTGGCCCACTTACGTAGGAAGGTTGAGGACCACTTCTCAGCTTGATAGATTGTTCCACTCATCTGCAAATCTTCTGATAAACCTGTTCTTTCCTGCATTTTTTTCTAAATCTGAATTTATCAAACATAAGAGCATGGGCCTACCTGTCTATGCTTAGCAATCCAGATCTCACCCAACCATTCCCACTAATGTTTCTCTTTAACTCGCCTCAAATCTACAGAAAAATCAAGTTCAGTGATACAACTTTGGAATTTCAGTTGCCTACAACTCTACTGCAAGACTGGGAACCTTTTCATTTTTTTCACTCGGGCAGGATTGTTGATCTTTTCTTCCTGCCTCATGAACATGTAAGATGACAGGTAAATCTTACAAACTTCTACCTATATTCAGTATACACATTAATTTCATATATGCATCTGAATAGTTCCTAAACCTGTAATATTTCTTTCCAGCCTAGGAGGCCTGGTCTGAGACTGGCCTGTGGGGAAGGTAATCCCCAGAATTACTTGACAGATAACAGATATTGCCAATAGAAACTAGTGCTTTTCTCTATACTTGTAAATATACAACAGTCTCAGTAGATCCTTTGTATTATTGTTATTATTATTACTATTATGATTGACTGATTATTGTTGTTTCAACAGGTTGGCTTTATTGATTATATTGTCTACCCATTGTGGGACACTTGGGCAGATTTTGTTCATCTAGATGGTGAAGATATCCTGGACCCACTAGAAGAGACCCAGGACTTGTGTCAGAACATAATCCCCACCCCTCCATTGTATTCATTAAATGACCTTAAGGCATAGGAGTATCAGGTGGATAACAGACAAGATGTGCCTGAGGAAGAGCTTTGTATCATCGCTGATAGAATCCAGATCCACTTCACATTGGATGATGAGGAAAGTCTATAATGAGCACTGCCATGTGGTGTTCAGGGTGAGGACCCTACAATGTGACTCTTGGTAGCCTCTTACTGCACCAAACCAAAGCATAGAAATCTCCTTGCCTAAAGGGAATCAGTATTTTCTTTTAATTGTAGGAGAGATGTTGGTCACAACATTGAGCAGTGCCAGATTACTCCTTTTAGTGAGAGAATTGTTTATCACACCTCTCAATGGAGGTTCCTTGAAGCTAGTGAGGGACTTTTGATCCAAGGAATTTGACCTATACTTTCCTTTGATCAAAACTGAATGCCTCCCATTCCCTCCAGGCACTTATGACCCCTACAGGTTTAATGCTCCCCTATGAATGTAATAATAATGTTTATCACACAGGTCAAGAGGCAGCTTTGTGATGACAAACTTTTGTGTGCTACATATCAGATAGAGGCATTGGTGGGCCCATAAATGGTACTCCCATCATAATTTTAGGTGTAAGGCATTACACGCTCTTTCATTAAATAGGTACCTGGTGGGAAACTCCTGCCCAGTGCCTATTATAATAATAACACCCTACCAGGTATTTTTGTGTTTTAAATACATCGGCCATCTCCCACTGAGGCAGGGTAACCCAAAAAAAGAAACACTTTTACCATCATTCACGCATAATCACTGTCTTTGCAGAGATGCCCAGATATAACAGTTTATTATTATTATGTATTATTATTATTATAATAATAATAATTCCTTATGTATTATTATTATAATTAATATTATTATTATTAATAATAATACATAGGGTCTATTGAGGTTGTTTTACATTTAACAGATATATAGAAAAGCATTAGTTTCTATTAGCAGTATCTGTCTTTATTCCCAAAGCAGCTGAAATATCACATAAGCCAAAGATAATTCATGTGGTGGAGATTTTACTCACCAACACCAGCTCCAGGAAGACACACTCTCTGTCTGACCTTTCTGTCTCTGTTACAAAATGCACGGTCCATATATCTTACCTGAGAATCGCCTACTATTAAAATATTCTTACTTTGATTAGCAGGGGAATCAGTGGTACCTTCAACCTCACTAACCACTGAAGTACACTCGTCTTGGAGAACAGAGAATCGATTTCCTACCTTCACATCTTCTTTATTAACTCTCCTCATCTTCCTTCTTCCTGAACTGTGAACCACTTGCCACTTAAAGCAGCTGCCACTGTCACTGCTGGTGACCATTCCTTCCTTACCAGCTAAATCCTTCTCACACTCGCTCCCAAACTCATCTATGCGAAGCTTCAGCCTCCTATTTTCCTCCTGAAGAAGTAGAATCTCCTTCTTCAACACTTGAACCTGAGATTCTAAAACACTACAACCAACCATGGTGCTTGGTAACAGCCCACGCTAACTCCCAAGAGCTTAGGCAGATATGACCGCAGGTGACCACTGACCTCAGCGTACTGACCGCTGTAATAGCCCAGTACTCGCCGTAATGCTAGCCCAGTACCTGCTGTAATGTTAGCCCAGTACTCGCTGTAATGTTAGCTCAGTACTCGCTGTAATATTAGCCCAGTACTTGGTGTAATGTTAGCCCGGTACTCGCTGTAATGTTAGCCCAGTACTCGCTGTAATGTTAGCCCAGTACTCGCTGTAATGTTAGCCCAGTACTCACTGTAATGTCAGCCCAGTACTCGCTTTTATTTCAACTTCAAAACTGCGTGAAATTTATCACCAAATTTCAGCAAGGGAAAATAAGCCCCCCCCCTTTTTTTTTCCTATAATCAGTCGAATTTCGGTCCTATCTTGTTAATGTCGATACAATTTGTTATATTTTGCTATCAGCCCAGTTTCAGTTTTGCCAAAATTCCATTTTTTTTTTTTTTTTTTTTTTTTTTGCTAAAAACAGCCCCCTTTTTTTTTTTAAATCGGCCTAGTTCGAGTTTTATTTTTTATAAACTTGCTTAAATTTCAAGCCTGCATTACTAAAATCAGCCCAAATGACGACCTTTGAACTAAAATCATCCCTGTTTCAGCCCCCATATAACTAAAACCTTGTTAACTTTAATAAATTCTCTATTAAATCTACCGACATCAGTCGTATTTAAGCCTCTGTAATATTTAAGAGCTATTATCAGTCTTATTTTGTTCGTATTATCCCCTCAAGGAAGGTTCCTTGATGCTAGTGAGGGGTTCTTGATGCAGGGAATTGTATCTGCTCCAGTACCCTGAATTAAGCCTGAATACCTTTCGCATCCCCCCACAGGTACTGTATAATCTTACGGGTTTAGCGCTTCCCTCTTGATTACAATAATTGTACTATCAGTCCTATTTCATTGTTCGTATTATTCAGTGTTAGTATTAGCATTACTGCTGAATATTGTTAGTAAAATCGTCATATTTAAGCCCTATAACATTATTAGTTTGCATTTACAGTGGTCCCTCGTTTTTCGTAATTAATCCGTTCCTGGAGGAGCTACTATAAACGAAATTTACGATTTGCGAATCAATTTTCCCCATAAGAAATAATGTAAATACAATTAATCCGTTTCTGACACTCAGAAGTATTAAAACAAAAAAATTTTTTACATGAAATATACATGTAGTACATAAACAATACAATGGGAAATGATGAATGAAACATTAACAGCATAACACTTACCTTTATTGGAGATTCTTCTTAGTGTATGGGAGACTGGAGGAGGAGAGAGATTGGATTGTTTACAGTTTGGAAGGGGAATCCCCTTCCAGCAACACCTCAGGTACCAATTGCTTCTCTGGGGTTGCTTCTCTTCTCTGTTTCTTAATGCCACTAGGACCACCTTGAGAGTCACTCTAGTCCTGTCTCGCAAAGTAACTGTGGAGAGAGCTCTGTTTCTGGCGTCTCTTTAACACTTCCCTAAAATGGCCCAAGACTTTGTCACTGTACATATTTCTCACCTTCTTTACCACAGGCTTGGCACTAGGAGCTTTCTTTGGAGCCATGGTAGCTTATTTAGTACAGTGGACCCCCGCATACCGTTGGCATCACATAACGTTTAATCCGCATACCGATACATTTTATCACTAAAATTTTGCCTCGCATACCGCTTAAAAACCCGCTCACCGCTGTTCGTCCGAGACGCGTCCAATGTGCGCCTTAGCCAGCCTCACATGTTCCGCCGGTGGCATTGTTTACCAGCCAGCCTCCGCGGTAGCATCCAAGCATACAATCGTAACATTTCATATTATTACAGTGTTTTTGGTGATTTTATCTGGAAAATAAGTGACCATGGGCCCCAAGAAAGCTTCTAGTGCCAACCCTACAGCAATAAGGGTGAGAATTACTATAGAGATGAAGAAAAAGATCATTGATAAGTATGAAAGTGGAGTGCGTGTCTCCAAGCTGGCCAGGTTGTATAATGAACCCCAATCAACCATCGCTACTATTGGTGGTACAGCTGCTGCTGCTGCTGCACTGTCAGCTGCTGCTGCTGCTGTAGCATCGTCTGCTGCTGCTGTAGCATCGTCTGCTGCTGCTGTAGCATCGTCTGCTGCTGCTGTAGCACTGTCAGCTGCTGCTGCTGCTGTAGCATCGTCTGCTGCTGCTGCTGCTGTAGCATCGTCTGCTGCTGCTGTAGCACTGTCAGCTGCTGCTGCTGCTGTAGCATCGTCTGCTGCTGCTGTAGCATCGTCTGCTGCTGCTGTAGCACTGTTGTTGGTGTGGCTTATTGAGAATATACCAAGAAACAATTAACCCCAGAGGATTTTCCACCCAGGATAACCCAAAAAAGTCAGTGTCATCGAAGACTGTCTAACTTATTTCCATTGGGGTCCTTAATCTTGTCTCCCAGGATGCAACCCACACCAGTCGACTAACACCCAGGTGAACAGGGAAAAATGCCTGGAACTAGTGCTCATATTGGTGAATTTAAAGCCAGCGAAGGTTGGTTTGAGAGATTTAAGAATCGTAGTGACATACACAGTGTGATAAGGCCTGTTCTGGAAGAAAATGCCAAACAGGACCTACAGTACTCAGGAGAAAAAGGCACTCCCAGGACACAGTGTCTCATCAGTCATTGCTGCATCTTCAATAAAGGTAAGTGTCATTCTTCATTTAGTAGACTAGTACATGCACAATATATACTGTGCATGTACTACTCTACTATTGTGCATGTATCCTTCTCTTTGTGTGTAGGAAAATGTATATTTCATGTGGTAAAAAAATTTTTTTCATACTTTTGGGTGTCTTGCACGGATTAATTTGATTTCCATTATTTCTTATGGGGAAAATTCATTCGCATACCGATTATTTCGCATACCAATGAGCCCTCTTGCACGGATTAAAATCGGTATGCGGGGGTCCACTGTACTTGCAAGCACTAAAATGAGTGGAATATTATGAAATATTTCGTAGGAGCACTTGACAGGGCCTTCACTCACTGGTAAACAATGCCAGACTGGCTGGGTAGGGAGGCCTCCCCGGCTCACACCGTGCGTAAGCGTCCTGGACGAACTACCATTCGCGAGTCAACCTATGAAAAGCGAGTCCATGTTTATACGAAGATACCCCTATGATTGGTGAAATTTACGATTGCCGAGAACTACGAAAAGCGAGGGACCACTGTATTCGAATTTTATTAATTATAATGAAATTTCAGTGAACATAAGACAGCCTTGTATTTGTTGGAATTCTTTTTATTATAAGATTTGTCAAAATTGTAATTTCATTATTAGCCTTGTGTTCATAAAAAAACAGGCTTTTCGTTAAAATTATGTATAAAAATTATTATATAAAAAACGTACGATAATCTGAAGGCTTATTGACACACCAATTTGGGTAATAAATTTTATTTTGTTCATATAGATTAGGGTTTAAATGAAAGAATATTGAACAGTCTGTACGGTACACACGGAGGCTGCCAGAACCAGTGTTAGACAGCATCTTCAAAATTACCGTTAAAAAACACCTCTCCCTGACGTGTCCCAACATCAGGTAATTGTGAAAACTACCCATATTCTCATTCACAAACATAAGTAAAACAATGTAATCTTATTCTCAGTATCTGCAATCTTCACAGCCATTAAAACATTGAAGGTGTTCACACTGTTATATGTTAGAATCCTCATTACCTATACATAATCATAGCCAAACCTGTAATTCTTCAAAAAAATCTTTTAAAAAGCCGTACAGTATGTACTAATACAAACAAGCATATTAACATATTATTTAAGCCATTTATGGACATAGTATATTTATGAATGCAATATACTGTGGTTCCCTGAGCAAGTACTCTGATGACTTCCTAGATTCTCTAAATTCAAACATTTCTTATTTTACTTACTGAAACCTGGCTTAAACCTGACACATTAGACATCATTGCCCTTATTAGGTACACAGACATTCATAACTCCTATAAAAAATTAATGCCTCATCTTGTTCCATTATATTTCTACTGAAATTAAATAACTTCCGGTATCTTCACTCATGTCTCTCAATCATTCCACATAACTGAAGACATGGAATCAGTTTGGAACAATACACAAATAACCCGCACACAGGAGAGAGGAGCTTACAACATTTCGGTCCGAACTGGACCATTAGCAAAGCCACACTAACAGAAAGGAGAGGAGAAATCAGCATATATACAAGCAAGCTGACAGGGACAGGACAAGAGAGGTGGGAGGAAGAGGATTTGTAATAGAGGTAAGGCAGGTAGTGGAAGTAGTAGAGGTAAGGCAGGTAGTGGAAGTAGTCATGGTAGAGGTAAAGCTGGTAGTGGTCCAAGTCGGACCGAGACGTAGTCGTAAGCTCCTCTCTCCTATGTGGGGGTTATTTTTTTATTGTTCATCACAATATTGTGCCTTTTTGTTCAGTTTGAAACAACTAATCATACCTTAAAACTACGTTTCATACATTTGTGACCTTTTCTCACTATAAATAAAATAGTATTTAACTGCATAAGAAATCCTACTTAACTGAAGACCATTGAACCAGTTTGAAGTATAAATCCATACTTTTAAAATTGTACTATTGTTCATTTAGCTACCTCTTTATTTGTACATTTAAGAACTCCTACTTAATAATCTATGTTTAGTTCATAAGTAGTCTTTAAGCATAGGATTGGTTTGCCCAAAATGCACTGCATGCTTTCATTTGTGTCCAATAATATTGTATTAATTGTAAAGTAGATTCTATGTACACTGCATAAAAGAAATAAAGTATTTGAATGGCCATCTACTTCATTCATTAAAGATTTGCCGGCACTTCCGCCCCGGGTCTTCTCCAGATGGTGACCCGGCGTCTACTATTCTGATGAACTAATAAGTAGTAACTCTGCGTGTTTCAGCGATGAATATGGGGAATATATATTATTGCCAACTTTTCAATAAAAAAACTAAAGACTCCCATTATAGCTGGTGCAGTCTACAGGCTACCTCATACTAATATTCCCACCTGTAGTGACAGCCTAAATATTTACATGTTATAAAGTATTGTTAAGCACAAAGAAAGCGACTCGCATGCCTGAGCATTTTGGGCAGACTAATCCTACTTCTCACAGACTACTTAAAACTAGACACAGGTTATGGAGTTGCAAATTTTAATTATTTATTATTTTACATTATTATAAAAGAGGTAGCCAGAAATTTTATAATTAATAGGATTTATAGTAGGGAGACAAGACTTGTGGCCTCAATTATTGTCCTATCAGCTTAATAATTTTTGGTAAATGGAAATTATTATTAGAGACAAAATACAGTGGACCCCCGCATAACGATTACCTCCGAATGCGACCATTTATGTAAGTGTATTTATGTAAGTGCATTTGTACGTGTATGTTTGGGGGTCTGAAATGGACTAATCTACTTCACAATATTTCTTATGGGAACAAATTCGGTCAGTACTGGCACCTGAACATACTTCTGGAGTGAAAAAATATCGTTAACCGGGGGTCCACTGTAATTAATAATATACATGTGCAACACCTGGGTATCTTCATTGAGGAAACATTTTGCCACACAGTGGCTCCATCAGTCCATACAAAGGAGAATGGTGAAGAACAGGAGTAGTTTGAGGTAATCAGTCCCTCAGCCTTGAGTTGATGTAATCGACTCAAGGCCAAGTCCGTCATTCTTTTCAAGATTGATGGACTGATTACATCAACTCAAGGCTGAGGGACTGATTACCTCAAACTCCTCCTGTTCTTCACCATTCTTTTCTGTATGGACTGATGAAGCCACTATCTGACAAAACATTTCCTCAATAAAAATACCCAAGTGTTGCACGTGTGTCTAATTTACAATTTGTCGGTTCTCTGAACCATGTATCTACAGATAATTAATGTTTGAGACAATAATAACCTACTAACCAGAAATCAAAGTGGATTCTGGAACAAACGATGCCTAACATACTCAAAATTTTCATTTATATGCTATACAAAAGCTGGGATGAAAATTTCCTTACAGTTGTATTATATCTAGGAGGCAGGGCCAGGAGCTTTGCCTTGACCCCCAGAAATTGAACTAGGCAAGCATAACAGAACACGCACACACACACACACACGCACACACACACAAACACATGCACACAAACACACGCACACAAACACACGCACACACATGCACACACACACACACACACGCACACACACACGTACACACACACACACATGCATACATATTTTAAGTTTGTGTTACAACTTATCACCACTCTGCACTATTCATTTTGCTTGACTGAGGTAAAGTTAGCTGGGCTTATGTAATACAGATGCCTCTCACATTATGCTGTGACCAAGATACGTTAGTGTTATCCATATTTTCAATAAAAGTAAAGGCTGGTGGAGTGATGAACATTGAAAAATTGAAAGCTATTCTAGACATTAACAAAGAAAAATTAAGGTTATTCTAGCAACTAAATTATGAAGATTGGTGGATATTCTAGTAATAACATAGAAATATTGATGGCTATTAAAGCAGAGAAGTTGCAAAGGTTGGTTTAAGAATTTGGGAGGGTATGTAAGAGGAGAAAATTAAAAGTGAACATAGGAAAGAGCAAGGTGATAAAAAGTTTAGAAAAAAGGACAGTAAGAGAAAGTTGAGAGTTACCCCTTACCTACAGCAGGCCAACGTTGCTGTGGCTGATTAATCATTCTGGGCATACCAGGCACTGGGCCTCCAACTACATGCACTGAAACAAAATTTGTCAAGTAAATGCAGAGAAGCAGATAATAATAAAAATTGAATAAATTTTCTGAATAAACACACAAGTAAAATGGCATAAATGACAAATGAAGTAAATACAGATAGGACTTAACCCCAGAGAACTATCATAAAGATGTACGCCAACACTCACCAAGCTTATAAAGAAATCCAAACAACTGTATTATGCTTACACCCCTCAAGGAAGGTTCCTTGATGTTGGTGAGGGGCTCTTGATTTAGGGAATTGGATCTGTGCTCCAGTTCCCCGAATTAAGCCTGAATGCCTTCCACATCCCCCCCCCCAGGCGCTGTATAATCCTCCGGGTTTAGCTCTTCCCCTTAATTATAATAATAATGTATTATGCTTACAGGTTTAAAATCCTTTAGTGTTCTATCATTGAAATATGCATGTATTTTTAGCATGTCATAGATTGGCCATTTCTAAGACTGTTTTATTCTCTTCACTCTTGTTGCAACTTCTCAGTTTTTATGAATTTTTAAAAGTGAGTCCAGTCATCATTCCTACTAATGAGAGATTGAGAACCACCCTCTCCCAGGTCCAGAACAATATTGCTTCACATCTGAACTCCTCACCTTGAGTGATTATCCTAGGTAATACACACACGTGCTGCTATAGATAATTTATGTAGCTATTAATGTGTACCTATACATACCAGAATAAACTTGCTTACTTACACTCTGTTTGGGAAGGAGATATTGCTCTCTGATTTGTTACACGATTATTACATTGTTACACGACTGTGACAGTGAGTTACCCTCTTAGCCAGATAATTTTTTTTTTTAAAACACTGAACGTTTCCCACCAAGGTAGGGTGGGAAATGGCTGAAGAATGTCAGTCATATCATAAGACTGACATTCTTCATGATAGTTTTACTACTTAAATAAAAAGAAATTCAACATATTAACGATGTATAGTACAACCAATGAAAATCTTGAAACCGAATGAGTCTTAGTAAAATAGGATTTTGAAAGTTAAACGTCCCTGAATGCAAAAGCACACTGAGACAAAAACGTTTCATAAAAAAAATGACTGTATTTTTTAATATGCGGTGCATTATTTTGATGAAACCTTGTCATAGTAATGTGGAATAATTTTGAAATTCAGTCATACCTGAAGAGTCGTTAAGAGAGCAGTGACCATAGATGTAATGCAAGACTGACACTGTTGAGCTTAGAGGCTCTGAGTTATTTAACCCTTAAACTGTCCAAGCAGATCTACGTTCACATGTGTAGTGCTCCAAATGTAAAAAAAAAACAAGATCCACTTTTTTTACACTTTCAAATATTGAAAAAACGCAGATCTACGTTTGGACAGTTTAAGGGTTAATGAGTAAATTCACTAATATTAACTGGGTCATGCAATGGAGACCATTATACCATGGGCCCATTTTTTTTTTTTTAAGGGGGATGGGGGGGATGGAACCCCGAATTTTGAGATGGTTAGTCCCTCAGTCTGAAGTGCTCAGCTCTATTATCTGGAACAAGGCAAGGTTGAAACAGTAGAATGGGGTCCTAAATACAGTGGACCCTCGAGTTTCGGCAGCCTCGACTTTCGTGAAATTCGACCTTTATGGAGTTTTTTTTGGGGGGAAAAATTTGGCCTCGAGTTTCGTGAAAAAACTCGAGACTGAATATAGATTTCAAAGGACCTCTACCAAGCATAAATCAGAACAGATATTTCCTTAACATAGTAGATGAATATTCAAGGTTTCCCTTTGTGTTCCCCTGTGCAAATATGACTGCTTCAACTGTTATTAGTTGTCTTTTACAGTTGTTCTCTATTTTTGGTATGCCAGCTTATATCCATTCAGACGGGATCCTCGTTCATGAGTAACGAACTTCAGGAGTTTTTGGCTAGCAAAGGTATTGCCTGCAGCAGAACAACAAGCTACAACCTTCAAGGCAATGGTCAAGTGGAGCGGTTCAATGGTACTATATGGAAGGCAGTTACAATGACACTGAAGTCGTGCAATCTACCTGTTCAACACTGGCAAACTGTCTTACCTGATGCTCTTCACTCTATTAGATCATTGCTGTGCACAGCTACTAATGCAACCCCTCATGAAAGACTCCTCAACTATTCACGTCTTTCCTCTACAGGAGCCTCCGTGCCCACTTGGTTATGTCATCCTGGACCCATTCTCCTGAAGTCACCGTAGGATGAACAAGACAGATCCTTTAGTGGAAGAGGTAGAGCTCCTGCAAGCTAATCCACATTACGCCCACATTCACTACCAAAATAGTGAAGAGACTACAGTATCTACAAGACATTTAGCCCCAGTTAAAATCCCCATTAGTGTGGAATCTCAAGATACACCAATAGATGCGAAAGATGCTTCGTTTTCTCCTGGAAAGCCCCTTGAGACTACCCCTATGGAAATAGAGGATTCTGCTCCAGCAGTTAGTCGAACCCCGCTGGAAAATATTGAACCTGGTGAAGAGGCTCAAGGGCTACGAAGGTCGGGATGTATACGTCGCCCACCTAACAGTTTGGGAGATTACTGTCTCTGATATTTTAGAAGGGGGAGATTGTAGTGATATTGCTCCTGTGGGGAGCAGCAGCAGGATAATACTGCACCACCTCTCGGGGCCCTTAACAACAGCAGCAGCTTGGTATGTGTCATGGGTGCCAACACATGGTGTGTGATTCTCTTCTCTTATATCCATATATTAGTGATGCAGATTATATGGTGAGTTTAAATATGTGGCCTGTAGTTATGCAAGACATCACCCTCCCTGTAGAAGCAGTTATTAGATGTACTAGTCATTATATTTTGTTGCAGAAGTACTATGAAGATTCTATGTTCAATAAAGCCTAGAGATAAGGCCTGTGTTTCTATCACAACACATTGTTAAATCAGTGGTTCAAGGTTGACTGAAATGTCATTGAATTTCTCTATGTACAGGTTTTTTGCTGAATGCTGTCTTGTAGCTCCTATTCCTATGAGGTGTTATTTAGTATGAAAATTAGGAGACCAAACTAAAGTAACTTACCAGGTACAGTATCTCTTCTCCCTTCGATTCCACAGTAAATTCCAAATGAATCAAGGTGTTCCTGGCAGTATATTATCTCTGTTCATTTTCCTCCACTGCAGTGTCACCAATGCTGTCTCACCAGTGCAGTAGGGTGCCATGTTCACTGCTAGTGAAAAAGGAGTTTTACATAACATACATGAAACAGACATTAGGAAAGACAATAGATACACAGATATGCAAGAATGAGAGATATTGCTACCACCTGTTCTAGGAAAGGAAGTGAAAAACCCATGGTAGACATGCAGAGATATACTAGAATAAGAAACCCTGTTATGCCGAGTCTTTGGGTATTGTGAAGATTCTACCCCATAACCCAGACCAGGCCTCCTAGGTTGAAAAAAAAAAATACAAGATTAAGACCTATTAAGACGAACATAGTAATGAACATTAAACATCAGTAGAAGTTTGTACATAAAAAGTTTAAATTTTGCAAGTGAGACGACAGTATACAGTAATAGAGGCTAAGACTTTGGGTAGCTTTAAAAAGAGATTGGACAAATATATGAGTGGGAGGGGTTGGGTTTGACTGGTGCCTGGGGTATGGAAGCAAATTCTTGGGTAGCTTTGGGAAGTGGTTGGACAAATACATGGGTGGTTTTGATAAGGCCTTGCCTTGTATGCAGTGTTCCTCCATTCTTATGTACCTCCCTGGATGGTTGCTGTCTTTCAACCTACTATAAGCATCAGGCAATACTTCGTCATTTCCTGGCTGTCACTAGATAAACATTCTTCAGCTTTCATGACTTCAAAGTAAAGAAACACATTCTGACAAGTGTAGAATAAATTTAATAAAGGCATATCTCTTGACCTGTACTCAGAGCTGGATTAAGATTCTGTAGGCCCCTGGACTACAGGTACTGTGAGAGGCCCCCAGTGATATTTTCATGAGGAAAAAAGTTAAATATTAAGTTCATTTTTACAGGGCTAACCACAACTAAAATTCAAACATTTGCTCTGCATAATTTCTTGGAAACAAATTTCTCCAAAATATCAGTAAAATGTAAGTTGCTGAGAACATCTCTGGAGGCCTCCAGCCAGCAGAGGCCCCTGGGCTGTAGCCCCTAAAGCCCATGCCATAATTTGGCCCTGCCTATACTCCTTGGAATGCAGGTGAGAAAGATACATCATGGTATACACTTGAAAAATCCTAGAGAGTCTAGTCCCAAATCTGCACATGGAAATCACTCCCTACAAGAATGCAAGATTCGACAAGCTGTGCACCATTCCCCAATGAAAAGCAGGGGCACCAAAAGTACACTAAGAGACAACACAATAAGTGTCAGGGGCCCAAAACTGTTCAACTGCCTCACAGCATACAAAAGGGTGATTATCAATAGACCCATGGCTGTCTGTAAGAGGAAGCTGGACAGGCACCTAAAGTCAGTATCTGACCAGCCAGGCTGTGGTTCATACATCAGTTTACATGCAGCAGGCAGCAATAGCCTGGTTAATCAGACCCTGATCCACTGCCAGTCCTGGTCATGGACCAGGCTGCAGGGGTGTTAACCGCTAGTCTGGTCCATGACCAGGTATACTCCAGGTATATATGACAACATATAAGTACATATAAATGAAAAGAGTAATGGTTTGATACCTAGCATAATACAAAATAAATCCTCTATTTAACAAACTAATAGGGAGAGTGGGTGGACAGAAACAAGATTCTTTTCCAGTGAATTTTGTAAACAATGGGTTTCATCTGTTGTTCTTGAATCAATTCGCTTGGTGGATTTTGTCCTGTACGTATTTCCAAAGTCCATGAAAACTGAGATGTGTTAAATCGAGGGTTTAAGAACTGAGTGACTGTAATAAGAATCACCATGGATAATAGAGGAAATAAGTAAAATACTATAAACATAATTATTATATACAATTGACTATTACACAAGCAGTTCCTGAAATTATTATTATCATGGGGGAGCACGAAACCTGTAGGATTATACAGCGCCTGTGGGGGAGGAAACTGGAGCACAGATCCAATTAACTAGATCAAGAGCCCCTCACCAGTGTCAAGGAACCTCCCTTGAGGGGCAGTTCCTGAAAACAGAGTTTAATACACAGAAGGAATGGTCTAAAATGAACTGAAGATGATATAGGAAAATAAGTTTACATTTCTTATGCCCCCCAAAAATAATTTTTTTTAGGAGAGGTGTTGATGAGCTGCAGTTTTATAACTAGCGTAGGCACACATCAAGAGGGAGAGTTTTTTTAGTGCCAGGAAGGAAAAAAAGCTGGCAGGAAATGGCAGAAATCGTACACCAAATCCAGTCATTTCTGGAGTGGAACCGCAGTCGATGGCCTCCACTCCAAACCAACAGATACAGATACTAGTGCCGGAAAAAAAAGTCACCCCCAGTACCACCAATAACACAAGTCCGATGACATTCTTCTTTGCAAATATACAGGGTCTAAAGGCAGCAACGAACAACAAAATACCTTTCATCCATGGACTGCTTGCAGAGGCAAATGCAATGTTTGCTGCTTTCACAGAGACCCACATAAAGGATCACTTGGACAATGAAATATGGATCCCAGATTACAACCTATACAGATGCAACAGAGTGAACAGGCAAAAGGGGGGGGGGGTTGGCCTGTATATTGCAGAGTCACTTGTTTGTACAGAACTGCTTAATGCCTCAAATGATGTAGTGGAAGTTTTAGCAGTAAAGATCGAGAACCAAAACCTAGTCATTGTGGTAGTCTACAAGCCTCCGGATGCAACGTCCCAGCAATTCCAGGAACAGCTGTTAAAGATTGACCACTGTCTGGAAACTCTGCCAGCTCCTGCCCCCAACATCTTGCTCCTGGGGGATTTCAACTTGAGGCACCTAAAATGGAGGAATATAGCAAATAATATTGTTGCAGTGATAGCACCAGGAGGCAGCTCTGACGAGAACTCACACATACACGAGCTTTTAAATCTTTGCACAAAATTCAACTTAAACCAGCAAATAATAGAGCCTACTAGACTGGAGAATACACTAGACCTCATCTTCACTAACAATGATGATCTGATACAAAATGTCACCATATCAAAAACAATATACTCAGATCACAACATAATTGAGGTTCAGACATGTATGCGCAGAGCCCCAGACCGACAAAATGAGATTAGGCACGAGGGAGCCTTCACCAAATTCAACTTCAATAACAAGAACATAAAGTGGGACCAAGTAAACCAAGTCCTAAACGATATAAGCTGGGAAGATAGACTAAGCAACACAGACCCCAACTTATGCCTAGAACAGATTAACTCAGTGGCACTCTATGTATGCTCAAGGCTTATTCCTTTAAGAAAAAGGAGGAGTAGATGTAAAATAGAAAGAGACAGGAGCTCCCTTTGCAGGCGACGGAAAAGAACAACAGAGCGGCTAAAAAAGGCCAATATATCTGAAATGTGTAGGGAGACACTGGTCTGGACTCTCTCATTGACTTTTTGACAACAACTGACTTCACAAACTCTGATGCCTTCAACCCTTTCTACCTCAATCTCTTGCTACCCTCTACCCCCGCACTATCCCCTGCCCCACTGTTTTCTGTAACCTACTGATCATCCCTCCCCCCCTTCTGCTGCCCAATACCCTCACTTCCTTCCCTACCCTGCAGCGCTGTATAGCCCTTGTGGCTTAGCGCTTCTTTTTGATTATAATAATAATATCCTCCCCTCCTTCCAACTTAGAACATAAGAAAGAAGGAACAGTGCAACAGGCCTACTGGCCTATGCGAGGCAGGTCCAATTCCCCTACCCCTATCCTATTTTGCTCTATCCTTTCTGAATGTCCAAACCACCTCAATAACCCCCTCCTCAGAACTCTGGATAATGCTTTTTTTGCAAGGTGATGAGATAACCAAAAATTTAGGTAATGGAAGATGAGATATCAGATTGGAGGGAGGGAGTATGGAGGAGGTGAATCTCTTCTTTCAACAAACCGGCCGTATCCTACTGAGGAAGGGTGGCCCAAAAAGAAAAATGAAGTTCCTCCTTTTAAATTTAGTAATGTATACAGGAGAAGGAGTTACTAGCCCCTTGCTCCCAGCATTTTAGTCGCCTCTTACGACATGCATGGCTTACGGAGGAAGAATTCTGTTCCACTTCCCCATGGAAATGTATACAGATATCTGGGAGTGGACTTGTCAGTAGATGGGTCTATGAAAGACAAGATGAATCACAGGATTGATGAGGGCAAAAGGTGAGTGGTGCATTGAGGAGTCTATGGAAACAAAAAATGTTTTCAATGGAAGCAGAGAGAGGAATGTATGAGAGTATAGTTGTACCAACACTCTTATATGGGTGTGAAGCATGGGTGGCGAATGTTGCAACAAGGAGAAGGCTGGAGGCAGTGGAGATGTCATGTTTGAGGGCAAAGTGCAGGATGAATATTGTGCAAGGAATCCGTAGCTTGGAGATTAGGAGGTGCGGGGTTGCTAAAAATATTTAGAGGGTTGAGGAGGGGATGTTGAGGTGGTTCAGACATTTAGAGAGGATGGAACAAAGGAGAATGACTTGGAGAGCATATAAATCTGCAGTGGAAGGAAGGTAGGGTAGGGGTCGGCCTAGGAAAGGTTGGAGGGAAGGGGTAAAGGAGGTTTTGTATGCAAGGGGGTTAGACTTCCAGCAAGCATGTGTGAGTTTGTGTCAGATAGGAGCGAATGGAGGCAAATGGTTTTTATGACTTGCCATGCTGTTGGAGTGTGAGCAAAGTAACATTCATGAGTTGATTCAAGGAAACTGGTTAGTCAGACTTGAGTCCTGATTCTGAAGGAGTGGTGGTGATATGATGCAGTTTTAGCACACCTCTGGCAAGACAGTGATGTAAATGTTCCTTCTTTTTTGGGTCATCCTGTCTTAGTGGAAAACAGCTGAAGTGCTAAAAAAAAATATCACTTATACACATAAAAGAAAGGTACTTTTAAACATCCTGAGTTACAAACATTTGTACTTATAAACAAGGCACTTAGGAGGCAATTTACAATGGCCCATCTGCAAAGAGGAATAAAGTCACACTACCACAGTACACTTCACAAACAACCCTTACTTATTAGAGGAACCTTTTGACAACATTTCTGTATATTGCTACCACTACTAATACCTCATCATCAATGGTGCAGCTATGGAGGGATGGGGTCTATGAGGGCTAAAGCCCTCCTTAGACCTCCATTTTTCAATGAATGGCTAATTTTCACTGCATTACATTAACCATGAAAGTGCAATAAAGGTATTTCATGCTCAAACTGAAAATCATATGTTTTGAAAGACAATTTCTTTGATTTTCTTCAGCATCTAATGATTTTTTAAACCTTGCACAATGAAATGTAAACTTAAGCTTCCCCTAGATTGAAATATAGGCTTAAGCCCCCTAGACAGAAATGCAAGCTAAAGCTTCTCTAGACTAAAAGCCAGGCTTAAGCCTCCCCCCTGTCCCCAGATTGAAATCCAGGCTGTTGTGCTGCTCATTACTGTAACTAACACTTGCTAATTCACACTCATCATTTTTCTGTAGAAAATTAGAAGATCTATCATGTATTATCACATTACAAATTGCATACACTAGTGACACACTGATAAGTAAGACACGTGCAACACTCGGGTATTTAACAATCACCTGTATTCGACTACAGAAGCCTGCTGTGCCAGTGTATTTTGATAATAATGATACCCAACTGTTGCACATGTGTCTTACTCCTCAGTCATTATCCTAAATAAGTTGGCCAATACTCTGTTGAGTCTCATAGCTTACTGGCCAATGCTTTACTGACCTATAACTTGACCCTTGACCTGTGGCCTTATCCCATGTCACTGCATCGAGAGGATACGACACTGATGATGCTGTTGCTTGTGTTTCTGTTCTTGTTGCTGATGCTGCTCTTACTACTGCTGTTCCACTGCTTCCTTAGTGTTAAAATAAAGTATTGTCACAACAATTACACTATTTCACCCATTTACTTGTTATTCACTATCTTTAAGCCATCATTAACAGCAGATGCACATACTACAGTGGAACCTCGGTGTTTGAACTTCATTGGTTCCTAGGTGGTGTTCAAATTGTGAGAAGCTTGATATGTGAAACAGTATTTTCCAGGCTTTATTTATCTACCTCACACACTGGAAGATGTTGAATTGACTCTTCCAAGTCTCTGAGAGGTAAGTAAATGTCAGAGGTCACCTCAAAGAACTTTTGAAACAGGGCTTTCCTGCAAAGTTTTTTATAAATGAACTGTAGAGAAGTTGGCACATTTGAACTCCAGAAAATGTTCAAAGTTCAGGTCAATTTTTTTCTGAACAAAATTGTTCAGACTCCAGTTTATTCAAGGTTCAGTATGTTTTATCACCAAGGTTCCACTGTAGTATTTAGTGTCAAAAATAATGATCAATAATGATAAAAATAACAATAGTAATTATAATAATAATAAATAATAATTTTATCCTTCTTGAGTGTCTGTACTTGTAAGTACAGTGGACCCCCGGTTAACGATTTTAATCCGTGCAAGAGGGCTCATCGTTATGCGAAATAATCGTTATGCGAATCAATTTTCCCCATAAGAAATAATGGAAATAAAATTAATCCGTGCAAGACGCCCAAAAGTATGAAAAAAATTTTTTTTTACCACATGAAATGTTAATTTTAATACACACAAACTGAAAAAGGCATGCACAATTACATGACACTTACTTTTATTGAAGATCTGGTGATGATTGATGGGATGGGAGGAGGGGAGAGCATTATCTTCTTACTGTTAGAAGGGGAATCCCCTTCCATTAGGACTTGAGGTAGCAAGTCCTTTTCTGGGGTTACTTCCCTTCTTCTTTTAATGCCACTAGGACCAGCTTGAGAGTCACTGGACCTCTGTCGCACAACAAATCTGTCCATAGAGCTCTGTACCTCCCGTTCCTTCAAGACTTTCCTAAAATGGGCCATAACATTGTCATTGAAATAGTCACAAGCACGGCTTGCAACAGCTGTGTCAGGGTGATTTTCATCTATAAAGGTTTGCAGTTCAACCCACTCTGCACACATTTCCTTAATCTTTGAAGTAGGCACAATGGATTCCACAACTGGCATAGGCTTCTCAGGGTTAGCCCCAAACCCTTCAAAATCTTTCTTAATTTCCATACTAATTCCCACCCTTTTTACCACAGGGTTGGCACTAGAAGCTTTCTTGGGGCCCATGGTCACTTATTTTCCACAAACAGCACCGAAAACACTGTAATAATACGAAATATTCCGAGTGTATGCTTGGATGTTACCGCGGAGGCTGGCTGGTAAACAATGGGACGGCCGGCACATGTGAGGGCACATTGGACGCGTCTCGGACGAAAATCGGTATGCGGGTTTTTAATCGGTATGCGGGGCAAAAATTTTGCGATAAAAGTAATCGTTATGCGGAAAAATCGCTATGCGATGCCATCGTTATGCGGGGGTCCACTGTACGTAATTCACAAGCACTCACTCATCAAACCATACATACAATAACAACAATAATAAAGAATAAGGTTTATATTTAAGAGTAAAAAGTTAAATGAAAAAATCCAACATGGATAAAAAATAAAACATACACAGCCTCTCCTCACTTAGCGATGTACTCATTTACCTATGACTCGGACTTACGATGGGCTCTCTGACCAGTATGCATACCTAAATAATGTACATTAGAGCTGATTTCCTCTATTCTGTTTATTACAATATACAATACACTCCTATATGAACATTCAAAAATATGCCAGAAATGTTATAAATGGTGGAAGGGTAACATTAAAATATCAAAGATGGCTGATACAAACTCACTACCATTATTGTATGCTCCTCACTTAGCTACCAATTCGTTTACTGACGTGGTCTTAGGAACAGAACCTCGTCATTACATGAGGAGAGGCTGTAATGGAAAGTCAATGTATGTTTTGTCCATAATCAAAGATTCATCAGCTGAGGATTTAAGATGAAATAAAATATTCAAGTGGGATTTACCTATTTTATATAAGTTTAATAGGTTTATACACACTGATAGGTATGTACATTTATAGAGAAGCATCATTACTATATTATTATATTTAAAAATGCTAAGCCTGAATGGGTTATTCGTCATTGCTAATGAAGCAGCCTAAATTTTCGGTTTAAATATATCTTAAATTACATACTGCATGAAGGTACTGAGCTATTACCTTACCTCATTTCCAAATCTTGCCCTTTTATGTTTCAACACACGGGCAGTCTCTGACCGAGGCAGGGTGCCCTAAAAGGAAAATGAAAGTTTTTCTTTTTACATGTGGTAATTTATACAGGAGAAAGTGTTGCTAGCCCCTTGTTCTGGGCATTTTAGTCACCTCTCACAACATGCATAACTTAGGGAGAAAGGATTCTTTTCCACTTCCCATGGAGATGAAAGGAAATAAAGAAGAAAAAGACCTATACACAAATAACCCGCACATAAAAGACAGAAGCTTACGACGACGTTTCGGTCCGACTTGGACCATTGACAAAGTCACCTATTCAGAAAAAAGAAGAAAACACAAATGGGTGTAATCACCTACTTGTACTCTCTTATTTGTGGTTCCAAGGGTAGAGTCACAGCTCCTGGCCCTGCCTCTTCACTGGTCAGTACTAGGTCCACTTTCTCCCTGCTCCATGAACGGTATCGTATCTCACGTTAAAGCTATGTATGAATCCTCGCTCCACTACATCTCTCTCCAGATTGTTCCACATTCTGACAACTCTACAACTGAAGAAATACTTCCTAATATCCCTGTGACTCATCTGTTATCATGCCTCCTCTATCCCTCATGTCCTCCAATGTCATCAGGTTGATTTCCCTTAACTTCTCCTTGTAGAACACACCCCTCAGCTCTGGGACTAGTCTTGTTGTAAACCTTTGCACTTTCTCTAATTTCTTGACATACTTTACCGGGTGTGGATTCCATACTAGTGCTGCATACTCCAATATGGGCCTGACATACACAGTGTGCAGTGTCTTGAATGACTCCTTACACAGGTGTCGATACACACAAATGTGTGTACATGTACATATACGTGTGCATGCCTGTGTAATTTGAAGTAAGTACACCTACCATCAAACTTACGACCTGCTCGACATACGACCACTCGACTTACAACCGTGTTTTGTATGCCAAATTTCTGGGAAATAAACAACTGTTAGTGTTGTACACAATGTTTATCCTAAACCTTACAGTATAAAATACAGTACTAACAGCATAAAAAGTAAAGTAAAATATGAAATACCAAAATAAAACACTAAATAAGTCATTACAAAAATGTGATGTTGATATTCAGTAGTAAGGTTCAACTTGCATCCATTTTGACTTATGACTGGTTGGTAGGAACCAAGCTCGGTCATAAGTCGGATGGTACCTGTGTAAGTATCAAGATATACTTGTTATCTTGTGTGTTTATGGCAGAAAAAATGACACCAGCAATCCTACCATTGTAAAACAATTACAGGTTTCTGTTTCACACTCATATAAGTCCAGCCCTATCTAAAGTATACTGTGACCTCCCCTCCTTCCAGGACACCACCCATACCAGGTGGCAAATATACAGATACAGTGGTCTCGAGTTATGATATTAATCCATTCCAGAAGATGTATTGTGCCTCAAAACTATTGTAACTCAAACCCCAAAATGTACATAGCTGTGTGACTTTGTAAATGGTCAAAGTCGGACCGAAACGTCGACGTAAGCTTCTCTCTTTTATGTGCGGGTTATTTGTGTATCGTTCCAGTCACGGTATTGTGCCTTTTTTTGTTATACATAGCTGTATGCTAATTCGATTCTATAAGTGCAGCGTTTACTGTACCTTGGACTTAAAGAGCTTGTGGTGGTGGGGAGGAGAGTGGAGAGGGGTCATGATGGCTTGGTAACACAAAAGATGTCATAATTAAATCACAAATGCAGTTATGAAGGATAATTAATCCAAAGTTTGTACTGACAACACACTTTGTAGCTTCAAATTGAAGAGGAAACAATAAACTGTAGTATGGTATAAACCTTACCTCACTTAGCGATGTACTCGTTTACCAATGACTCAGAGTTACGACAGGCTCTCCAACCAGCACATAAACCTAAATAATGTATATTAGAGCTGATTTCCTCTATTCTGTTTATTACAGTATACAGTACACTACTGTATAAACATTTAAAAATATACCAGAAATGTTATAAATGGTGCAAAAGTGACATTAAAAAATATCTGAAGATGGTCGACACAAACCCATTACCAGTACAGTGGACCCCCGGTATTCGATGGCATCAGTATTTGATAAATCCGGTTTTCGATGCATTTTAACGCAAAAATTTTTCCTCAGTATTTGATTGAAAACCCGGTATTCGATACAATTCGTACAAGACCTGTCCACGTGTGACCTGAACTGCCCCATGTGTGCTAGTGTTTACAAGCCAGCCAGTGTGTGCGCATCTAAGGATACATTCGGTACATTCCATATTATCCATATTATCACTGTGTTTGGTGCTTGTTTCTGCAAAATAAGTCACCATGGGCCCCAAGAAAGCTTCTAGTGCCAACCCTTTGAGAAAAGTCGCTAATGACTTATGAAATGAAGAAAGAGATAATTGCAAAGTACGAAAGTGGAGTGCGTGTGTCGGAGCTGGTCAGGTTGTACAATAAACCCCAATCAACCATCTCTACTATAGTGACCAGGAAAACGGCAATCAAGGAAGCTGTTCTTGCAAAAGGTGCAACTGTGATTACGAAACAGCGACCGCAAGTGTTAGAAAATGTTGAGAGATTGTTATTGGTGTGGATAAATGAAAAACAGATAGCAGGAGATAGCATCTCTCAAGCGATCATTTGTAAAAAGGCTAGGCAGTTGCATGACGATTTGGTAAAGAAATTGCCTTAACTAGTGGTGATGTGAGTGAATTTAAGGCCAGCAAAGGTTGGTTTGAAAGATTTAAGAATCATAGTGGCATATATAGTGTGATTAGGCATGGTGAGGCTGCCAGTTATGTTGTGCGACAGAAGTCCAGTGACTCAAGCTGGTCCTAGTGGCATTAAAAGAAGAAGGGAAGTGAACCCGGAAAAGGACTTGCTACCTCAAGTCCTAATGGAAGGGGATTCCCCTTCTAAACACTAACACCTCTCCCCTCCTCCCATCCCATCAATCATCACCAGATCTTCATTAAAGGTAAGTGTCAATTATTTTATTGTTATTGTAATTATTCTATTGCATTAAACTTAATATTTCATGTAGTAAAATTTTTTTTTTTCATACTTTTGGGTGTCTTGCACGGATTAATTTGATTTCCATTATTTCTTACGAGGAAAATTGATTCGGTTTTCGATATTATCGGTATTCGATGAGCTCTCAGGAACGGATTAATATAGAATACCGGGGGTCCACTGTATAGCATACTCCTTGCTTAGTGACGAATTCATTTACAGACGTTGTCTTAGGAACAGAACTCTATCGTTAACCCTTTGAGGGTACGAGCTGTAGTTCTATGCCTTGTCCACACAGTCCAAGCCGTAGTTCTATGCCATGAACTCACCTCACTCAGATAAGATGTGAGTCGTAAATTTGGGTCTAGACATGATAGAATGGATCTACTGTATGTGGTAAGTGTGCACCATATAAGACGAATCTCGCAGCAAGCAGTGCATAATGAGAAAAAATTGTTGCCATATTTTTGGATTAAAACAGCGACTATGCGGTGTATTTTCATATGGTTTTTACAGTTGTATTCATGGTTTCTTGGTCTCATTTGATAGAATGGAAGATATATATACTGTATTACAGAAATAGAGATGATTTTGATTGGCTTTAGTACTGAAAATAGCTTGAAATTGAGCTTAAATTAGCAGAAGTGTTAAATTTTTGCTGATCTTTCTTTCTTTGTTGCATTTATCAGGGCCACTGACAGCATAAGCTGTATCAAGCCTGACTTCTCGATGGCACGAGGAAGATTTGTTGCCCAAGGCTGGGCTACGAGAGAAAAGGAACAAAAGTTCCTTTGTAAACAGAGACAAAAACTTGAAGTTTACAATTTGATCCAGTGGATCCCCTTGCAAAACCCCAGCAGAGCAGAATGCTGACACACTCACCTGAGTTCAGTAACCGGCTTCCCACCAAAGGCCAATGAAGAATTATCTGCAGAGTGGAAAAATGGAGCTCGCTAAAAATAGAGTGCCCGGCAGGCAAAATAGATGAGGACAAGCATCCCAGAGAGAATGGGGGAAATTTATCACTGATACTCAGGCAAGAGAGAGACGTCCACACCCAATGAAGGCTGGCACAAAAGTCCGATTTTTGCTGATGTTTAAGAGTAAGCAAATGACGTCATGTGTCCAATAAACATCAACTGGTGGGTTTAATGCATGTTCACGAATGTGCTGATATTATTTATACAATTATTATAATATTACATAACAGTAAATCTTCTATTTTATGGTGTGAATAAAAATTCTCTATGCAAATAATAAATCAAAATGGGATTCATCTATAAAGCCTGGAAATGCAACCAATAAACAGAGGAAATGTTGTTTTAGTGCCAGGAATGCCTGCATTGTTTATTCTGGACTCAATTTGGAATTGGAATATTTTGAACTTTTTTGAAATTGGCAAAATTACCAATTTCTGATCACTTTATTGGGTAGTTAAAATAGTTGATTGGGCAGTTTATTGGTCTCAATCGATAAAATAGAAGCAATACTAGCAAAATAGCTAAGAATTTGGTCAACTTGAATAACGTACATAATTGGCCCAAAATAGGAGTAAAAGTGGGCAAAACTGCCAATGTGTAAATACTGTATAGCTATTAGTCCATTAAATGAATGATTTATTGTACTGACAGATACCTCATAATTACTTGTACATGATCAGCCAGTGGATGTGCAGGATAACCCACTGACACCGGTCCAGGAAAGGCAGGACTGCGAGGTGATCCAAGACCAGCATCTGTAGGTCCTTGTGGAGGGACAGGTGCACCAAGTAGTGCAGAGGCTTGGCTATAGTAGCTGCTAAAGGGACGCACAGCAGAACTGGACTCACTGCTTGCTCCTGTTGCCTGAAAGTAGGTATAAAACTCCTGTCAAAATAATATAATGGTACAATAACTAATAAAAAATTAAAATGCAAATATTCCTCATTTTATGATGCAGATGCATTCCTGGCACTTAGCAGTTATACTTAGCAGAATGTAGCAAAACACACACAATTGTGCATAATATGAGTGATGAAAATATTTTGTGGCTTACACTGAGTGCATACAGTAGGGAGGGTTAGCCACCCAGGATAACCCAGGGTAGAGAGGGTTAGCCACCCAGGATAACCCATGGTAGGGAGGGTTAGCCACCCAGGATAACCCATGGTAGGGAGGGTTAGCCACCCAGGATAACCCAGGGTAGAGAGGGTTAGCCACCCAGGATAACCCATGGTAGGGAGGGTTAGCCACCCAGGATAACCCATGGTAGGGAGGGTTAGCCACCCAGGATAACCCAGGGTAGAGAGGGTTAGCCACCCAGGATAACCCATGGTAGGGAGGGTTAGCCACCCAGGATAACCCATGGTAGGGAGGGTTAGCCACCCAGGATAACCCAGGGTAGAGAGGGTTAGCCACCCAGGATAAACCCATGGTAGGGAGGGTTAGCCACCCAGGATAACCCATGGTAGGGAGGGTTAGCCACCCAGGATAACCCAGGGTAGAGAGGGTTAGCCACCCAGGATAACCCAGGGTAGAGAGGGTTAACCACCCAGGATAACCCATGGTAGGGAGGGTTAGCCACCCAGGATAACCAATGGTAGGGAGGGTTAGCCACCCAGGATAACCCATGGTAGGGAGGGTTAGCCACCCAGGATAACCCATGGTAGGGAGGGTTAGCCACCCAGGATAACCCATGGTAGGGAGGGTAGCCACCCAGGATAACCCATGGTAGGGAGGGTTAGCCACCCAGGATAACCCATGGTAGGGAGGGTTAGCCACCCAGGATAACCCATGGTAGGGAGGGTTAGCCACCCAGGATATCCCATGGTAGGGAGGGCTAACCACCCAGGATAACCCAGGGTAGAGAGGGTTAGCCACCCAGGATAACATACGGTAGGGAGGGTTAGCCACCCAGGATAACCCACGGTAGGGAGGGTTAGCCACCCAGGATAACCCAGGGTAGAGAGGGTTAGCCACCCAGGATAACCCATGGTAGGGAGGGTTAACCACCCAGGATAACCCATGGTAGGGAGGGTTAACCACCCAGGATAACCCATGGTAGGAAGGGTTAGCCACCCAGGATAACCCATGGTAGGGAGGGTTAGCCACCCAGGATAACCCATGGTAGGGAGGGTTAGCCACCCAGGATAACCCATGGTAGGGAGGGTTAGCCACCCAGGATAACCCATGGTAGGGAGGGTTAGCCACCCAGGATAACCCATGGTAGGGAGGGTTAGCCAAACAGGATAACCCATGGTAGGGAGGGTTAGCCAGGATAACCCATGGTAGGGAGGGTTAGCCAAACAGGATAACCCATGGTAGGGAGGGTTAGCCACCCAGGATAACCCATGGTAGGGAGGGTTAGCCAAACAGGATAACCCATGGTAGGGAGGGTTAGCCAAACAGGATAACCCATGGTAGGGAGGGCTAGCCATCCAGGATAACCCATGGTAGGAAGGGTTAGCCACCCAGGATAACCCATGGTAGGGAGGGTTAGCCACCCAGGATAACTCAAGAAAGTCAGTGTGTCATCAAGGACCGTCTGCCTTATTTCCATTGTGGTCCTTCAATCTTGTCCTCCAGGATGCTAAAAGTCTATCAATACTTAACTATAACATCAGGTCCTTAAGCAAACACTATGATGACCTCCTGGCACTCCTTGAATCACTAAAGACACCCTTCTCCTGCATTATTCTTACTGAGACCTGGCTTAAGCAGGACACAATAGATATCTACCCTCTACCAGGATACACAGCAATCCACAACTGCAGACCATACCAAGTTGGGGGTGGTATTGCCTGGAGTTTACCTGGAGAGAGTTCCGGGGGTCAACGCCCCCGCGGCCCGGTCTGTGACCAGACCTCCTGGTGGATCAGAGCCTGATCAACCAGGCTGTTACTGTTGGCTGCACGCAAACCAACGTACGAGCCACAGCCCGGCTGGTCAGGAACCGACTTTAGGTGCTTGTCCAGTGCCAGCTTGAAGACTGCCAGGGGTCTGTTGGTAATCCCCCTTATGTATGCTGGGAGGCAGTTGAACAGTCTCGGGCCCCTGACACTTATTGTATGGTCTCTTAACGTGCTAGTGACACCCCTGCTTTTCATTGGGGGGATGTTGCATCGTCTGCCAAGTCTTTCGCTTTCGTTGTGAGTGATTTTCGTGTGCAAGTTCGGTACTAGTCCCTCTAGGATTTTCCAGGTGTATATAATCATGTATCTCTCCCGCCTGCATTCCAGGGAATACAGGTTTAGGAACCTCAAGCGCTCCCAGTAATTGAGGTGTTTTATCTCCGTTATGCGCGCCGTGAAGGTTCTCTGTACATTTTCTAGGTCAGCAATTTCACCTGCCTTGAAAGGTGCTGTTAGTGTGCAGCAATATTCCAGCCTAGATAGAACAAGTGACCTGACAAGTGTCATCATGGGCTTGGCATCCCTAGTTTTGAAGGTTCTCATTATCCATCCTGTCATTTTTTCTAGCAGATGCGACTGATACAATGTTATGGTTCTTGAAGGTGAGACCCTCCGACATGATCACTCCCAGGTCTTTGACGTTGGTGTTTCGCTCTATTTTGTGGCCAGAATTTGTTTTGTACTCTGATGAAGATTTAATTTCCTCGTGTTTGCCATATCTGAGTAATTGAAATTTCTCATCGTTGAACTTCATATTGTTTTCTGCAGCCCACTGAAAGATTTGGTTGATGTCCGCCTGGAGCCTTGCAGTGTCTGCAATGGAAGACACTGTCATGCAGATTCGGGTGTCATCTGCAAAGGAAGACACGGTGCTGTGGCTGACATCCTTGTCTATGTCAGATATGAGGATGAGGAACAAGATGGGAGCAAGTACTGTGCCTTGTGGAACAGAGCTTTTCACCATAGCTGCCTCGGACTTTACTCTGTTGACTACTACTCTCTGTGTTCTGTTAGTGAGGAAATTATAGATCCATCGACCAACTTTTCCTGTTATTCCTTTAGCACGCATTTTGTGCGCTATTACGCCATGGTCACACTTGTCGAAGGCTTTTGCAAAGCCTGTATATATTACATCTGCATTCTTTTTGTCTTCTGGTGCATCTAGGACTTTGTCGTAGTGATCCAATAGTTGAGACAGACAGGAGCGACCTGTTCTAAACCCATGTTGCCCTGGGTTGTGTAATTGATGGGTTTCTAGATGGGTGGTGATCTTGCTTCTTAGGACCCTTTCAAAGATTTTTATGATATGGGATGTTAGTGCTATCGGTCTGTAGTTCTTTGCTGTTGCTTTAGTGCCCCCTTTGTGGAGTGGGGCTATGTCTGTTGTTTTTAGTAACTGTGGGACGACCCCCGTGTCCATGCTCCCTCTCCATAGGATGGTAAAAGCTCGTGATAGGAGCTTCTTGCAGTTCTTGATGAACAAGGAGTTCCATGAGTCTGGCTCTGGGGCAGAGTGCATGGGCATGTCATTTATCGCCTGTTCAAAGTCATTTGGCGTCAGGATAACATCAGATAGGCTTGTGTTAACCAAATTCTGTGGCTCTCTCATAAAAAATTCATTTTGATCTTCGACTCTCAGTCTGGTTAGCGGCTTGCTAAAAACTGAGTCATATTGGGACTTTAGTAGCTCACTCATTTCCTTGCTGTCATCTGTGTAAGACCCATCTTGTTTAAGTAGGGGGCCCAATACTGGACGTTGTTCTCGACTTTGATTTGGCATAGGAGAAGAAATACTTTGGGTTTCTTTCGATTTCATTTATGGCTTTTAGTTCTTCCCGCGATTCCTGACTCCTATAAGATTCCTTTAGCTTAAGTTCGATGCTTGCTATTTCTCTTACCAGTGTCTCCGTATGCCTTTCAGATATATTGACCTCTTTTAGCTGCTCTGTTATTCTTTTCCGTCGCCTGTAAAGGGAGCGCCTGTCTCTTTCTGTTTTACATCTACTCCTCCTTTTTCTTAGAGGAATAAGCCTTGTGCATACATCGAGCGCCACAGAGTTAATCTGTTCTAGGCATACGTTGGGGTCTGTGTTGCTTAGTATATCTTCCCAGCTTATATCAGTTAGGACTTGGTTTACTTGGTCCCACTTTATGTTTTTGTTATTGAAGTTGAATTTGGTGAATGCTCCCTCGTGACTAATCTCATTATGTCGGTCTGGGGCTCTGCGCATACATGTCTGAACCTCAATTATGTTGTGATCTGAGTATATTGTTTTTGATATGGTGACATTTCGTATCAGATCATCATTGTTAGTGAAGATGAGGTCTAGTGTATTCTCCAGTCTAGTAGGCTCTATTATTTGCTGGTTTAAATTGAATTTTGTGCAGAGATTTAAAAGCTCGTGTGAGTGAGTTTTCATCAGAGCTGCCTCCTGGTGTTATTTCTGCAACAGTATTATTTGCTATATTCCTCCATTTTAGGTGCCTTAAGTTGAAATCCCCAAGGAGCAAGATGTTGGGTGCAGGAGCTGGCAGATTTTCCAGACAGTGGTCAATTTTTAACAGCTGTTCCTGGAATTGCTGGGATGTTGCATCCGGAGGCTTGTAGACTACCACAATGACTAGGTTTTGGTTCTCGACCTTTACTGCTAAAACTTCCACTACATCATTTGAGGCATTAAGCAGTTCTGTGCACACAAGTGACTCTGCAATGTACAGGCCAACCTTCCCCCCCTTTTGCCTGTTCACTCTGTCACATCTGTATAGGTTGTAACCTGGGATCCATATTTCGTTGTCCAAGTGATCCTTTATGTGGGTCTCAGTGAAAGCCGCGAACATTGCCTTTGCCTCTGCAAGCAGTCCACGGATGAAAGGTATTTTGTTGTTTGTTGCTGGCTTTAGACCCTGTATATTTGCAAGGAAGAATGTCATCGGACTTGTGTTATTGGTGGTACTCGGGGGGACTTTTTTTTCCGGCATTAGTATCTGTATCTGTTGGTTTGGAGTGGAGGCCATCGACTGTGGTTCCACTCCAGGAATGACTGGATTTGGTGTACGATTTCTGCCATTTCCTGCCAGTTTTTTTTCCTTCCTGGCACTAAAAAACCTCTCCCTCTTGAGTGGCTGTGGCTACCCAGGTTTTCCCATGGTCTGGATGTTTTGTATCTTTTTGTCCCCTTTAGATGGTGTGCCTGGCAATTTAAGTTATAGCACAGTCTTTCCTGTACTGAAGAGGGACACATTTCAGGGTGAAAAAGCTTACAGGAAGGAAGTTTGCATTTTCCTGTTGTCATATGGGCATGGCATTTTCTAGGGTGGTCATAGTTGCATAGTATGTGCACAGGCTTGGTTTCCATTTGCCTTGGGTTTCTGTGACTGTATTCCCTGTTGGTGCATGTTTACCTGTCTTATTCCTATCCTCACTAGCACCAACAATGGAGCTCTCACCAGTTGTTTTTGGTAATATATCCTCACTATTGCTAGTGGAGTCCTCTTGTTTGCTATTTCCTGTGGTATTTCTAGTTTGCAATATTGGTTTTATCTTATCTTTGACTACACTTGTTTCCCTACTACGGCTCCTGTCCCCTATGAGGTCATTTATATGCATTCCATCCTGCGTACAATTCCCGACTACCTGGACAAAATCTCCAGCTTCACCATTACTGTCTCCCAGGACAGTATCTCCAGCTTCACCATTACTGTCTCCCAGGACAGCACCTCCAGCTTCACCATTACTGTCTCCCAGGACAGCACCTCCAGCTTCACCATTACTATCTCCCAGGACAGCACCTCCAGCTTCACCATTACTGTCTCCCAGGACAGCACCTCCAGCTTCACCATTACTGTCTCCCAGGACAGCACCTCCAGCTTCACCATTACTATCTCCCAGGACAGCACCTCCAGCTTCACCATTACTGTCTCCCAGGACAGCACCTCCAGCTTCACCATTACTATCTCCCAGGACAGCACCTCCAGCTTCACCATTACTGTCTCCCAGGACAGCATCTCCAGCTTCACCATTACTGTCTCCCAGGACAGTATCTCCAGCTTCACCATTACTGTCTCCCAGGACAGCAGCTTCACCATTACTGTCTCCCAGGACAGCACTATCAGCCCCACATTTACTGACTACCAGGACATCACCTCCAGCCTTACAGTTTGTGACTACATGGCCAGTATCAAGGGCAGTACCATTCAGCCCAGACTTTTTATGTTCCCATCTGTTGTAGAAAGCTTCCAGGTTGTCCATGAAAGCAGCTTTGATGTTATCCTCTTTTAATACCCTTGTGATTTTAGTCCACAGATTTATCTCATTTGGACATACCCAAAAACACTTCCCTGTTTTAATACTGCTTGTAGCTAGTTCTTGGATATCTGCACAAGGGGCGTGACACCAATTTCCACAAAAATGACAATTTATCCATGTGGAAGCCCGTTTGTTTGACTGACTGCAGACTACACACAGCTTCATAATGATTTGAATGGTTGATTTACTGTAATTCTACTAGCAACCTCTTGAATACTCTATTAATAACCTCCTTAAATGAAGCTCTAGCTATTTGTATTTCTATTTCTAACTGTACTTGTATGTTAGGACAGCTTACCGGAGTACGCTCCTGTTTTTTATTTATTGTTTGTGTTTATAAGGGCGCCTACAACCCCATCCGTTTACAGTCTGCTTTATTGTCCAACGAATCCGTTTGAAATCGGTCGAGGGTTCGGACCAGTCAAGGGTTCGGAACCAGTCTGATCTGATCAGTGGGTGACTTATTTAAAACATACTGGTCGGTGATTTGGGCTAACACATGAAGGATCTACTGGAAGTTATCTACCCGAGTAATATGTGATTTGATTAATATAAAAAGTATAACTTGCGTGTTGAAGAACCGGTGATTGCTGGCAGCTCCTACAATGACGAATGGTCGAGCCTCAACCCTTGTTTATCAATCGCTGTATCTAGCTTTTCTAGTTTTTTTCCGTCTCCACCACAATAAATGCTATATTATCACTATAGTTGACTGGTGGAAATTTTGGAGGAAGGACGCTTTTTCTGTAGTAATATTTGCTTCTCGTTATGTATATTGCGACCGCTGGTAACTACAGGTTATATGAGATTCACAGTATACGTCTGGTATTTCAAGAAAAAAGAAACTAATGAAAGTCACTCCACTCCACTAAGTACCATTATGATACTGGTTAGTTGCCATTATAACACTGTTTTATGCTAATCACTGGTATCACTAGATTATATGCGAGTACACTAGCAGGCCAGTAAGATTTAAAACAGCTGACCTGTGGTAAGTTTCTGGCGACTTCTGGCACCTGCCTCTATAGGCTTATCACTTCATTTACAAATTCACCTGTTTTCAAATGACACTTTAGCCTTTATTATCTATATACTATTATCTATACTAGGGAGCCACTGTAGTATACACTATACACTATGTATACACAATATTATCAGGGAAACTTTCTTTCCTCTGACAAAGAAAAGTTCTATAATTATTATTTTGCACACGGCACACTAGGCCTATTCCCCTCTGGCAGTAAACTCTGCTAGGTAGTGCACACTAATTCTCCCTTTTTGACTCAGTATATAATGTCTTGCGCCCTAAGATTGGTTGCAGGTGCTAGAGGGATGTATCGTATAAGATTGATGGCACAAATTAAAGTTCTAGCACATAAGAGCGACAGTGAAAACACGAGAAAACACGGAGCACAATGGGGCACGCTGGCACGCTTTAGTGATGAATATGGAGAATACATTTTTGCTAATTTTACTGTAAAAAACCTTAAGACGCCTATAACAATCGGTACCATTTACCGGATACCTCACACAAACATCCCAAATTTCAGTGAGAAATTAAAGTCATTAATAACAAACAGACAAATGAATAAGCACCACCTTCTCTTAGCTGGAGACTTCAACATCAACCTTGGCCTACTAGATGATCAGCCTATAACTGATTTCATCAACAATGTGAACAACACACTTCTCATACCAACAATAACTAAACCAACCAGGCTCACTGAGACAAGTGCAACCATAATAGACCACATATGGACCAATATACTATTATTATTATAATCAAAAAGAAGCGTTAAGCCACAAGGGCTATACAGCGACCAATATACTAGCCCCCCTTAAATCAGAGATAATCACAGATAGCACTACAGACCACTACCCTACCTTCCTCTTGACAGAGATAAGATAAGATTTCGTTCGGATTTTTAACCCCGAAGGGTTAGCCACCCAGGATAACCCAAGAAAGTCAGTGCGTCATCGAGGACTGTCTAACAAACATTAGTAAACCACCACTTGAATACAACAAAGTCTCATTTAGACTCCATGACGAGGCCTCAATAAGGAAGTTCACAGCTGACCTAGAGACTGTTGACTGGCCTACAGAATTCTCCAAGGCCAATGGTATTGATGACTGGACAGATATTTTTCTTAACAAATTACTTAGACTATACAACAAACATTGTCCTATAAAAACGAAACAGATCACAAACAAACAGCTTTGTTGCCCATGGCTAACCAGCACCATTCTGAAATCTATTGATAAGAAATACCAATATGAAAAGCAATATAGACAGGGCTTAATACACAAAGATATTCTTAAATACTATTTATCAGTCCTCACCAAAGTAATAAAGAAAGCCAAACAACTATACTACTCCAGTAGATTCACTGACACAAGAGGAGATATAAAAAAGACCTGGAAAACACTCTCTCAGATTCTAGGGACCCACAAACTGAAAAAAAACCAAGAATACTGTCCTAACTAAACCTAATGAAACACCACTGCATCCCACTGACACAGCTAACAAGATAAACGACTTCTTCTCAACCATAGGATCTAATCTCGCCAGTAAAATCCCATGTACCAATGCCCATGCCGGGGACTACCTAGATGGGAATTTCCCAAATTCCTTCTATCTTGCACCAACTGAGCCCACGGAAGTCACCGAGATTATAAAGTCACTTAAAAATAACTCAGGGAACCTGTCTCATGTCCCACCATTATTGTACAAGCGAGCAGCCCATGTCCTTTCGCATGCTATTTCATTACTTTTTAACAAGTCACTAGAAACTAGCACCTTCCTGAAACTACTCAAGACGAAAAGGGTTATGCCAGTACATAAAGGTGGTGATCCTACAGATTTAAACAACTATAGGCCAATATCAAACTTACCATTGCTATTCAAAATCTTTGAAAAACTCGTGCACAGGAGACTATATTCATTTATAACGACACAAAACATACTCAACCCCTGCTAATTTGGATACAGGAAAAATAAAAGCACTAATGATGCAATCATAAAAATGCTAGATCTGCTTTACACAGCATTGGAAAATAAGGAATATCCACTAGGAATTTTTATTGACAGCATCCTACTCCACAAACTTGACCATTATGGTATAAGAGGCCATGCGCTTACATATTTCAAATCTTACCTTACTAATAGGTATCAGTATGTCACCATTAAAGACACAGCATCAACAACACGGCCACTTGATACTGGAGTTCCGCAGGGAAGTGTCCTTGGTCCCCTGCTCTTCCTCATATACATCAATGATCTTCCAAACATATCCCAACACCTGAACCCCATTCTCTTTGCTGACGACACGACTTATGTCATCTCTCACCCTAATCTTGCCACCCTCAACACCATTGTTAACGAGGAGCTGATCAAAATATCGACTTGGATAACTGCCAATAAACTTACGCTTAACACTGACAAAACCTACTATATTATATTTGGTAGCAGAGCAGAAGTTGCGCAAATTAACATTAAGATCGACAACACTCTAATTACCAGACATAATGAGGGCAAATTCCTAGGCCTATACCTCGACAACTACCTGAATTTCAGCACCCATATCCAACACATAACCAAAAAAGTACTCAAAACAGTTGGAATCCTCTCCAAGATATGATACTACGAGCCGCAAAATGCCCTTCTCACACTATACCACTCACTTATTTATCCATACCTCACCTATGCTATCTGTGCTTGGGGATCAACTGCAGCAACACACCTAAAGCCAATAATAACCCAACAAAAAGCCGCAGTAAGAATAATCACTAAATCCCATTCCTGGCAACACCCCCCCCACTCTTCATAGATCTAAACTTACTCCCTGTTCAGTACATCCACACTTACTACTGTGCAATCTACATCTACAGGACCTTAAATTCCAATATTAACCTTGACCTAAAACGCTTTCTTGATAGTTGTGACAGAACCCACAGGCATTACACCAGACACAAACACCTCTATGACATTCCCCGTGTCCGACTAAACCTTTACAAAAATTCAATGTATGTCAAAGGCCCTAAAATCTGGAACACCCTACCTGAAAACTCTAGATCTGCAGACACATTCATCACCTTCAAAACTACCATTAGAAAATATCTTATCTCCCTGATACACCCTGTCAACTAATTACACGAATACCACCTGGTGGTTCACACTTACACTCACCCATTTGACCATAAACAGAAATATCAATCTCAATCTTAAAATAATGAATCCTAACTAGTCATAAGTTGGCCTATGATACTCCAATCCTGAAACTATGTATTGTGCCAAAGCAAAAGCATTCACATTGCTAAACTCACAAACTAGTATTTAGTCACCTAGCCATAATACCAACTTACCTCATAATTTGTAATACGTGTATTTTAAATTTAAGAATTAATCTAAGTCTGCCCGAAATGCCTAGCTATGCTAGGTGTTCTAGTGGCACCCTCTGTAATTAGTACTTTACTACATGTAAACCACACAATAACCAAATTCTGTAAACTCAGCATTGTAATCCTTATAGAGAATAAACTTTGAATTTGAATTGAATTGAATTGATGCCACCCACACCAGTCCACTAACACCCAGGTACCTACTTACAGCTAGGTGACCAGGAACAGTAGATGTAAGGTGACTAACACCCAGGTACCTACTTACTATTAGGTGAACAGTGACAGCAGGTGTAAGGTGACTAGTGTGCAGGTACCTACTTCCTGCTAGGTGAACAGAGACAGCAGGTATATGGTGACTAACACCCAGGTACCTACTTACTGCAAGGTGAACAGGGACAGCAGGTGTAAGATGACTAACACCCAGATATCTGCTTACTGCTAGGTGGCCAGGGACAGCAGGCGTAAGGTGACTAACACCTAGGTACCTACTTCTTCCTAGGTGAACAGGAAGAGCAGGTGTAAGGTGACTAGCACCTAGGTACCTACCTCCTCCTAGGTGAACAGGGACAGCAGGTGTAAAGTGATTAATGCCCAGGTACCTACTTCTTCCTAGGTGAACAGGGACAGCAGGTGTAAGGTGACTAACACTTAGGTACCTACTGTGGAAAATTTTCTAGGGGTGATTACTTGTACATACCTCAACATTACATACATACGAGTAATCTCCTTGGGAGACAACAACGATATTGTTTACCGTAGTCACCCCGTGTAGACATGTGAGAAAACTTAACCACCTCTGGTCACTGCAGGTGGCCCCTCGACCCTCACAATCTTATCCATATCTATCCGAGACCAGTATAAATTGGGTAGCACCCTCAAGTACGGCGCTACTAATTAATTGTTGACTGTATAGATTATATTAGTTTAACTGAATGAAGGGGGGGGGGTAGGTTACACATGGATATATCCATCAAGGAAAACACTTGTACATAATCTCAC